TTTCTCTTCAGATGGCAAGAGTTTTTATATAGACATTTAGTTTTTTTTCAAACTCTCTTTCCCCTCCCTCTCTCTTGCTGTTGTTGTTTTTTTTCTTTTTCGTCATGCCTATGAAACATAAATAGAACGAATTACTTTGAATGGGAAAGGATGCGGCTTAAATTGTAAAAGGCTCCAATTCAACAATGACATCGCAATGAATACAAAATGCAAATCGTTCTTATTTAAACGACCACAAGTTTGTACACACACTTTCCTCCCAATGGCTGGTAGTTGCGCGCATGAGATGAATGTATTATATTTTAAAAGCCATCGCTAGCAGGCGAGAAGAGATGGTTTCTTTGTGAAAACAACACACACAAGCGATGAAATTGTGATTGAAGCCAGAATCGCCTCGAGCAATGGAATCACTGGAAAATTACCGCAGGGACTTTCTCATATAAAACCCATTTATAACGCCTCCCGTGTCAAGATTATTAAATCAAATGAACTGAGAGATGGTGAAGCGAGTAAGCGACCAAATGAGCGAATGGGTTCGCGCGTGCACTCGGTCTCGATGACAATGACATTGTCTAACAAGTGGTTTTCTGCTGGGAAAATTTGTTTTGACTTCAAGAACAATGCATAATTGCTTTTGGCATCAATGTATCGCAATACTGTCGCTTTCAGACTCTTCGTTTCATCATTCTCACACACTAACACAACGTTCATTTAAAACTCGAAGAGAATACGTAGCCATTCACACCCAGTTCTGTATATATCGAAAATCTTGGCACCTGGGCTTATAAATGGTTCAATACTTTTCCAACGTGTGAAACGCGGTGTAAGAGTGTACTGTTTTGTAGCTTTTGTATATAGAAAATTAATTTGAGTGCAGGTAATTAGATTTTCATTCTTGAATAATGTTTCATTTAGAATCGTCCATCGATTGAAGGCTGTGCGAACGAAAGGCCCGATTCGGGATTTTGATAGAAGTTTCAGCGCAAATAAAATCGTTTCGCCAGTTATTTTGAGTGTATGTTGTGTGTGCTTGTATGTTTGAAAAAGTGCTCTAGCTAAAATGATGGTTCGATATTGAAATAGCAATTAACGTTTTGAAATGCAATTCTGTCGAATCAACTATAGTTCTCTGTAGCACACTGTAAACGCAGAATATATACTGAATTTTTCCGTTGAATCTCGTTTGAAGCACTAAATGACTGAACATACTCCATTCAATGGTCGTATCGATCTATTTGAACGTCAATGCAAAGCATCGATTCGTTTGTTTGTGCCACAATCTCTCAAGCTCTCACAAGTTTGAATACTGAAATGCCATATATAGATATGGTTAGATAGATATAGATAACATTTGAAATGCATTGAGCGCGCTACTAACACCTCATCACACCAATATCGCACATTATATAAATGACTATTGAAATGTAACCAGCAATTATTCAATGTTTGAATTTGCATTTCAATTTCAATGAAAATTATACCTGTGCACCGTGCAAACACACACATTTCATTCATATATCCGTCGTTGTTAAATGGGAGTTTCTCTCGCCCACTCGCTCTCGTTTAATAGAATACACCTTTAAATGGTGTTTCATTAAAATTAATTGCTCATAAAAATAACAATAAAATTTAAATGAGCACCTGCCGCTTTAAGCTAATTCAAATCAGTTATTCATTCTTTTTTTTTATGGGCAAGTATCGGTATTAGTTTACATCGTTAACATGAACATGACCAGATTTATGTCGAAGTTCAAGATGAATGAGCAGTTTTCCAAAGAGCTTTTGAATTCATTATTCCAGTCTCCTTGATGAGATTTTTTCGGTTCAATATTCATTCTTAATTGATTCTCGTGAAATATGAGAAAGAATTTAATGATTTCATTGATTGAGAATTGTATCGTTTTCAATTTTATTGTATAAACTAAATGAAAGGAATGGAAATCAAAGAAAATCACAATCCACAGGAATTTTCTCTGGTTGACATCAGAAAGGCGAACCGTTAAATTCCACGGATTTCTCGGGATGGAAATCGATTTGCACGAAAAACGATGAAATTTATGTTTGAGCATGAGATGGGTTTTTGGTTGCGAACGTATGGTTTATTCCAATGACGATTGCGGAAGTGTATGAGACTCATACCATAAGCCAATTGAATACTACTGTTGGCTGTTGTCGATGTGTGTATTTGTTTTATTTACTCGAAGCGGTGCTGATATGGCGAAGGAATGAATAGACAAAGAGAGTAAAGAGGGAATCATTGAGCACGGCAACGTTGCATAGCGACGCGAATTAGGAAATAGATTTTCGGTTCGCATTGAAGAAAATGTGTGTGTATGGTAAATGGTGGAAAAATCGTAAACGTGACAAAATATTATTGCAAGTTTTATTTACATTTGGGCTTGGCACAAACCATGTTGAGAGATTCTTTGCTATTTGCCTGTTCAACCGAGATCGATTTGTTATTTATACAGTGTAAATAATGTGAATGGACCAATGTAAACACTGAAGAGAGCTGGAAAGAGAGTCATCATCATCATCATCATCGTTGGTTGAATTCAAACAGGTGTCGAAGATCCGAATGATTTCACAGGCTCTAGGAATCGAAGTGGTAAAGGAATCGGAAATCCAGGCGAATTGGTATCAATTGAACACTCTGTGTTTGCCTTTGCTTGAGCATTCGACTCGTGTCGGCCATTACGCATTTTGCGTTTGACATTTTCAATCGATGCTATTCTGATGTTGTGGTCACGCCAAACACGAAAACCAAATTAATATTCTCTCGTGCACATTTGGTGCGTGTGTTTGTGTCGGTTTGTGTGAGTCATCGACAAATAGCTCTACAGAAATCGCGAATCGTTCTTCCTTTCTCGTTCCGCTTCTTTTGGATCAATTTCACTTCTGGTTGTGACTGATGGCGAACGCACACCGGATCCAAAGACAAATCAAGAATTCAATCTAACTTTTTTAATAAGCCTTCATTGACAATCCTTTTTTTTTATATCTCATTCGATTGGAGCTGGTAGAGACAAGCACATTACTGGTTTCTATTTCTATTTGCTTTCCGATTCGTTTCACTTAATGTGTTCATCATCAAATTGAGATTCCCAAACAAGACGATTTGCGTGCGTGTTTGCAACCGAATCCAACATTTCTTGCAAAAATGATTAAAAAGTTACACGATTAAGACAGAAATTAAATGTTTATTTAATGTACACATCTAAAGTGTGTATGATGGCAATGGTAGCGGTTCTGGTACTGGCGATAAAATAGCTTTTTGGAAAATTGCTATGCAAATACAGCCAAAAATATACTCCGTGTGTTGAAAATGTACGCTTAAAGCTTTGCAACGAACAACACCATTACTGATTGGGTGTTGAATGACACGATATAGTGATCCAACTAATTTCTATATTGGTATCATTTCGTCCCGCTCTTAGAAACGGTGATTAAGCACGTAATTTGACTACGTGATTTACTTCAATTCATTCGTTCGTTCACTTTTTCTATCCCGTTGGTGTCGCACACTTCTCATCGTGTCTTCCGATGTGCTCAGGGAAAAAATTCGGCGAAAGAAAATTGTATGTATCAAACGAAATGATACACCAGAATGGAAATTTTTTTCCCAAGGCCATCGCCATCTCTGCAAGCGAAGTGAAAATTAACATTTTCACGCTGAACACAGATAATCAAATGGGCTTCGGTTTTCTTCTTTCAAATTCCCGGACTGAACAAATACAATTAGCAAATTTCATTAATTACATTCGAGCGCGCGCGCTGCTTTAATTCACTGTGAGTTTTCTGGAGGCATAAGATGGACTTGAAATATGATTAACCGTTGTCATCTTTCAGCGTAAAAGTTTTTTAAAAAATGGACTTTTCTATTTAAACCAAAGCTTTGCACATTTTTATACGGTCATGAGTTTTGACTTCTGTGGAAATAAAGTCAGTTTCACTTTCGAAGGATAAGCTATCGTGACTGTTTGTTTTTCCAGCACTTTGATTGACACAGCCAATGCAAACGAATGATTTGCACAGAATGGATCATCTATTCAATCTATTTTCTATCAAAGAACATTTTTTTCTTCTTTCTTTAATTTTCATTCGGAATGTCGGTCATTAATTGAGTCTTTTTCCCTTTTGTTCAGACGATTTTTAATGATAAGAACATCGAAAAAGAAAAACAAGAAGAGAAAATTCGTTATTGAGCCCTTTTTGTCCTCACTTGCTAACCCAATGAAATGCGAGTCGGGCTGTCAGCAAAAGAAAAACAATCAATGAAAAAAACGATGTCGAACAAAAAACAGCGCAACATTTTAATTAATATTAGCATTCATCGGTTTGAATCAGCACATTTTAATTTAAGTAACGTTTAATTGCTTTCTATAATCATTTTTCATCCATTTTTTTTTATAATTTAAAATGTATTTAAACACGACAATGTATCTACTGTTTACACTTGCTCCAACTGATTGAGTTCTTTTCATTTTTTGCCCTTTTTATTTTTGGGGTCAATATCTGCACTTGTCAATCAATGCGAAAGCTTTGTTCATAGTCAAAAACGAAGTAATAAGAAGTATCAGAAAATTGAACTTTAACATTGTCACATCAATCATTTATGAATGATTGACAGTCATCGAGGTTAACCGTTAGATTTGCACACATTATGGATCAATAACACAAATTCAACAGGGAAAAAAACAAAAATTGCATTTCTCAGATTCAAAGCCATTTAATTTCCTAATTTAATGAAACTTATAATCGGTTAAAGTGTTCTACGTCATGCAAATCATATTCCAAGATAAATTTGTTTATTTTTACGCCAATTTTGAAAAGCATCATCATTTCGTTGTCAATAAAACAGAAAAGGTCATCAAATCGGGGAAATATACCTCGTCATCGTTAATATTTTATGAGGAGTCATTTTAAGCAAGAATTTTAACAAACAATCTGCGGAACCAAAGGAAAAAATCACACACAAATTGTCAAAAATGTCAACTTACTGATTTTTATTTCGCGAATTCGCTCTACGCAAATTGTGTGTATGTTTGACGTGTTATGGTGATGAATCAATCTCAACACTTAAAAAGCACAAATGAACAATAAAAACACTCAGCAGAGACAAAAAATCGTTGAACTTTATTTGTTATTAGCGCGCGCGAAACGTTACTTTTTAATAGTTTATCTTTTTCCTTTCGTATTTTGTGACCAAATTTACTGAAATATTTTTTTTTCTAGATTGTTTCGGTCGTAAGCAGAGTGGCAGACAATTTTCAGACAAATGGAGAATTGAGCCTGGTTTAAAAGGGTGACAATAAATTTTAAAAATAAATTGAAGGAGGTTACAAAGCAATATTGAAACAGCTTGAACGGTGCACAACGAACGATTGTGTGTCGCACTTGTTGAACGGAAATGATCGCAGCCAATTTAATGCACACCAAATCCAACGAGATTTGTGAAACACATTGGATCGAAAGTTGAATGTAAATATTTCACGCAAGAACTTTTTTCGGGCAAAAATAAAATCAGCAAATGGATAACCGTAGAAAAGCAACTATAATTCGCACCACCAGCAGCAACAACCAAACCAGAACATAACAATTCACTCGAACCAGAAAATAACGCTTAACGTTTTTTTCCCGTTCGTTCGTATCTATTCTTCGCAAAAATGATATGCACCTCAGAAAGAGAGAGTTGTGTGTTGTATCAGAACAACGCTACGATTTGCACTAAATCCAATGAGTCTGAATTTTGATGTTCCAACTGATGAGAATTCAGCCAATGTGAGTGCGACACTGAGAGAAAGAGAGCAACACACAACAGAGCGTGCGACACACAGACAACACACAATCCACCGACCGACCGACCGAAACGTACCAAACGAAACCGAATAAAAAAACTAAAAATCTCATTCGCAAAAACGAACAAGCACCGTAGCAAACATCATTGTGCACAGCAAAAGCAAAGCGTGCACAAAACACAGTACATTCAGTGGCAGTGAGCAGCAACAACAGCAGCGTTGATACCTTCGAAAGCGATTTTCCCATTCTCGATCATGGCAAAGCCTGAACGGAGTACATCAAGCAATATTTAATTCGACTGACTTGTCGTTTGCGACACGCTCGCCTCGATACGTGCTCCGCACAACATTATCAGTATTAGTGTACAACCTTGGGCCCCGTACTGATAGCGCCTTGTATTGGACAACAACAAGTCACACGAATAAATATAAATAAAGCAAGCGCTCGCGTCTTACTCGCTATATACGGCAGCAGGCAAGGCAAGTGTCGTACATAAAAATAAGCGCTTGAAAAATGAAACGCAACTTTGGCTGTCGAATCGTTTGACTACTCTAGAGATACATGGATACTACTATCTGGATTATGGATGAGGCATTTGCGAACAGCACGAACAATCCCAACCATTATTATGTATCACTATTGCGTGCGGATAGGGATGGAGAAAGCGATGCGTACATAATTTTTTCGGGTGATTTTGATACGAGAGATGTCAACTGGATACAACAGCACATCATGAATAAAGTGGAGTATGGCGCAGAAAGCACGGCGTTGCGGAGAGGGTGAGCATGGAGTGATGCTTTTGCCTACAATCCTGAAATGACAAGAGCAAAACAAAATAAGGTAAACATCTCTCTCTCTCTCTCTCTCTCTCTCTCTCTATGGCATGGTACAAAGAGAGAGGAATATGTAAACAACAACAAATTTTATATTGATAACTGCCACCGCCACTGTCACAGCGTGTCTATGTGTATATTATATGCGCTTCACCTAGCGTATGCCAATAGAGAACAAGTTGCGAATGTGAATGAGATGAAAAAGGGAACGAACGAACGAACGAACGAATGAGAAAAAAGTGCTCACGTTTCCATGTCGTTCAAATTCTAATAAAAGACGAGCGACAGCAAATATGAACTTAACTTAATCGAGGCACTACATCAACGACTTCATGCAAAGTATTTTTCACTTTGAATAGATATTCACTCTTCACGGATGCGACGCACATAACACACATATTCGACTTGAGTTATTTAGCTAGGCGATAGATAGACGACGCTTCTAAGAAATGAAGTGTTAAGATGAAAAATGTGGTTTCTGTTCTTTTCTTTTGCAAACATCCGACGATTCGGCTTGATGCACACACATGCCACCCAAAGAGAACGAACAAACCGACCGAGGAATCACTCAAAAGCCTTTCTGATTTAACTTTTGAACTTATTCCACAACTATGTATAACGTGTTTTATCTCGAGTGAAAACGAAGAGAAAAATTTGCTGTTAATTTCCTTTCTGCAAGCATCCTGTTATACATTTATACATTTATTTTCCAAATCAAATGCAACACACCATTGGCCACTGTAATGAAAAATCGAAACAATTTTTAAGTGATGCAGAAATGTTAACGTCGTTAAGCTTGGTGTAGTTTAATCAAGGAGAAGAAAAAGCATGATTTGGATGATAAGCGAAATGTCAACATTGCTTCGAATGCTAGTGAATAGTTTTTGAGCTCCTTTTTAATTCGTGAATTATATGCAGAACGTTGTCATAGATACTACTACGAAGAGCTCGACGATCCATTTTTATTTGTGTTTCTATTTGTTGTTGCTGTTTTTGTTGATGCTTTCTTTTCATTTAATGCGCGACTCGTACATAACAACCGTTTTTATACACATGTATAACATTTGAAGCCAGCTCAAAAACGATGGCAGAACAACGAACAAATGACACAAAAAAATTGTGTATAAAAACGAGCGACAGGGACTTTTTGTCGTGAGATGCTGTTGAACATTGTGACTCGTCGCTCGCAAATGCCCCTTAATATTCTCGGGAAAAAATATGCTATAGATTGTGTGTGTTTGTTTTGTGGATTTTGTGCGCTTATAAACGGAATTGCAATGTCTTTTCACTCGAAAAAAAAATAGAACCGAAGCAGCGATGGATATATTTGCGTGTGCTTCTTCGATCTATTGTCATCATTTTTTTTCTCTCGTCTTCTTCATTGAATGACAAAAACGTAATAGCGACAGCACGCTGGTTAGTTATGTTCCTCATTGTGTTGGAGCATTATTATTGGAGAGAGAGAGAGAGAGAGAGAGAGAGAGAGAGAGAGAGAGAGAGAAAGAAAAAAGGCCGAGAAAGGATCAAGTTTTGAGATTGAATCGTGTTGAGTTTTGGCTTTCGCTCTCACTTGCTAAGAAAAAAGGAAATGTCTTAAAAGGACGACAGCGAACAATGAATATAGTATGTTGCGCATGCTGATTTTTTTCCCTTTCCTCCATCCATTATTGTTCGTTTTCTTGCTCGCTCGCACCCGTCCTTGTTCTTACAGAAAATCCACCACTTTGAATTTGTGACACCATATAAAGATGTACGTTTGGTTAAATGCTAGATATCAAATGTGTAATAAATGTATGTGTGATATTATCTCCCTTGGCAGTGTAAACTTGGTCCATGAAAATTATTGTGCGGATGAACAATAGACCTAATTCGTACGAGATATATTATATGGTTGCTATTTATTTTCATATTCGGCAAAGCATCGTTGCCATTAAAACGCACAAATTCGCACACACAGACACACACAAACGAATATGGGTGAGCATGGCGTTGAATCATTATTTGGATTAATTTCACTTTATAAGAAGATAAAAGTGCACATCACAAGAAAAACTTGAATCGACTTAATTAATTTGGATGTGCGTTTTTTTCCGTTGTGTCGTCTGAACACATTATTCATTCCATGGTTCCATGGTTGCATTAAATCCCGATAGAATTGAAGTGAATCAAGGCTAAACATAATTATAATGACTTCTATGATCAAGTTATACACAGTAAAGTGGCTGCTTTTCTACGCATTATTTTCCACATCGCATTTACTGCGAGAGAGCGTTTTACACGTGACAACATTCATTCGAGAAGCAACGGGGAAAAAAACTTTGTTGAACAAAATAAATAAAGTGAATGCGATATGGGAAAAGAAATACTGTCATTAAAATTCTTTTGATTAAAATGCCATTAATTACGTTAATTCATATATTCGATTCATGAAGAACATATACATATATAGGTGAAGGTTGATAGTTTTGTCAATACTTTTTCAAAGTTTATCTTCAACTTTTCATCGTCGAATCCTTTTATTGGACATATTATTTTTCTTTCATCACATAAATATGTGGGATACGTATCAACCAAATATGTTGAAAGAAAAACGGTTAGTCAAAAAGTATGCGATCGTAAATCCTGTTGACAGGCTCAGAATGTATACACGATAAGATTACTGGATAACTCAATTTGGCTCGCGTGTTTAAATTCTTGCGCTTGACTGCACATACCAAATGACGAAAGCATATCAATTCAAAGCAACATTTTCACACATAATCAGCATACAAGGCGCTTGGCTGTAAAATATAGGCGACGTAGAAGAAGGAAGAAAAAAGAAGCGATACTGTCACATACGTGTTCTGATTTAACACATTATGCCATTTAAATTTAATTTCATCGTTTTGAAACGTGAATTATCCGAAAAGCACAAAAATTAGATGTACACGCTTAATCCACATAATTACGGCGTCATTAAATGTGTTACACCATTATATTTGGTTCGACTGCTGTTGATGCTGTTGCTATTTGTGCTCATGGTGGTATGTTGGTCTGTTACTAGCATTTGCATGATGGATGTGATGTGGAAGAATGTGTGTACGTGAATGAGTGTATTTCATTATCATTTGTTAGTATTCAACATCACCCATCCAACCAATCATATGTACTCGGAGTGCTGAAACCCGTTGGTATGAGCGATAGTCGTTATCAACACTTTTCCCTCTCGCTTAACGCTCGCTATCTTTTCACCGACCACACATACACACACACACACACTCTTTTTCTCTTCCCTTTCGCTTTTGTCTCATCAAATTTCAATAGGATCCCTTGGATATATGTACTACATGAATGATGCTAAATAGGAAAAGAATACGCGAGAGCTAAAGAGAATAAAACTTCTGTCTCTTTATAATCGGGTGTATGTGTACACACACACACCCACACACACATTCGAAGAACGACGTGGAAATACTTTGGTGATTATATGTGAATTCCATTTGTCGTTGGCAGTCGTAATTGTGCATTGTTCCAAATGAAAACGGGAGTGAACACATTTTTCATGACGCACCAACCGATAATTAATAAGAGTGAACGATATGATGCCGCGCACTAAATGTGCATCATAAAAATTAATACTCATTCTTTCAAATGTGCTAGAGGCATGCGGTGACGAGACACGTCTAGCATACGATGCTATGCAACACCTGTGCGATATGACGACGATTTGCACAGCAGATGATACTTACATTTTATTGCAACCATTTCGACTGAGACACACATGTGTGTGACTTGGAACATAATCATTACACCACAAATCACAACAAAATCAAATTCCTCTGAACAACAAGGAAAGAAGAAGAAGAAGAAGTGAAACGAAATAATAACACCAATCGCATTTTCGTTTGTTTTTGTGTTATTCAGTTGTTTCTATTAACATAGTATTTTTTTTTTATTGATTAAAAGATGCACTTAGAATGTATGAATAATTCACAGCAATCGACGATAGCTCTTATGACATTATTCGTTTATCAAAACAGAAGATTTTTTTTAAGAACTAAAAACAAAAAAAAAATTATATCAAGTAGTAAATGGTGTGATGAGGAAACAGCTCTAAGCAGTTTTGCTCAGTGGACGCCGAAACAGGAGGATGTGTGGTTCTGGTGTGTGAATCATGTAGTGTACCCATCCGCGAGATTGTTGTACACCGATCGATCGCCATTCCGTCTCCGACATTAGATGTGTCTTCGGCACCAAACGCACCAATTCCTTCGGTAATACGACGTGTCTGTAAAATCGAAAGCAAAACAAATACGATCAAAAAATTATCTCGGATATTCGCATAGAATGGTTCCATATCATGGAGGGAAAAAGAAGAGTTAGGTTAGGTTCACTTCAAATAATATTAATGATTCAGTGAAATCAACAACAAATATTCACATTCCAAGGAAAATTGCCACCAATATTTAAAATTGGACAACAAATCACAAATAATATCGTAAATTACAACAACAACAACAAAATGTCCGTTAAAATTCAAATATCCACTGTGGTCTTTTGGCAAACAAATTCCAATACACACGATACATGCCTACTTGAGTCATAAACATTTGCTATGTTATTTAGTTGACGGTCGGCGAACATTTTTCTACGAAAACCGAAAAATTGAAAAAAAATGCCCATATGAAGTGTGCAAAACCTGTTTATGTCAAGACCCTTTTTGTCTATACCTCTTTTTGCGGCGGATTTTTATATGTCACACACACACACATTATACACTGATTCTCATTTTGTCGCAATTTTTTTTCTTGTTGCAAATTTCCGAAAAACAAAGAAACCACATTTAATTGTTTGCAACAAAAAAAACAACACTTACCGGTATTCGTATTCATCGTCGAAGTATTTGTCTGAGTAGTAAATCTCTTTGCTCATTGTGTATCAATTATTCAATCAATTCGATAAGATGACGAAAATAAAATGTATTTCAATTTCGGCACTTTTGCGTTTTTCTTTGTACGTTTGTTCGTCTGCACGCAGATGTTAATACAAAAGCCTAATGTTTAAAATAAACCGATTCAAACCGATGATTTTGAATTACTCCAACTGGCTAAGGAGACGCGCGACCATTTCTATCTCTGTTCAACGCATGCAATTCCTTTTGCATCGCATCTGCTCACACCGAAACAGCTGTAATTGGCTGAAACACTTTTGTGACAGCTTCATGTGTTGCAACTATCAAACACGCAACTGAACCGCACACTCAGCCGGGTTGTCCGATGTGCAAATTTGTTGCACACGTTGTAAAATTGTTTGCAATTTTTAGATTCGATAATTCATTTGGCAAATATGTATGAATTGTTGTTTACTTTTTTATTTTTAAATTTTCTTAAATAAAATTTCAAGTTAAACCATTGTGTTTAGTTTATCAAATGAAATGTGCTAACAAATTAACGAACATTCACCACATAAACTCACAAACACACCATACAAAAGCCACCACATCGATATCGGTGACAGTCACCGAAGAAGTTGACGTTTGCTTGGCTCTCAATCAACAACATCAAAACGTTTATCCATATATTCATTTTCCACTTGGTAAATGCGGAGAAACGACGTGTGTGTGCAGTGTCTTGATTTTTTTTTCGTTGCTCAAGAATAAACCAAACTCGGGAAATGGGAAAGAAAAGCAAAAAGTAAGTTATTGATTTGTTTCGTTTGAGCTTTACTGAACTAACGAATGGATTTGTGTATTTTCAGGTCACATAAAAAATCAAGTAGAAGGTCTTCATCGGCTAGTTCATCATCATCATCCGATGTGAAAAGCCGCAGAATGGATGACTACAAAAAGTCATCGTCATCAAAATCGCATGCAGTTGAACGGAGTCAACATCGTTCTCGTTCCAGATCGCCGCATCGTTCACGGGATCAATCCAAAAACCGTTCAAGAGATCGAACCAGAGACGATTCCCGCGGTCGTTTGGAAAAACATTCACGCGACCGATCGAGAGGTCGTTCCAGGGATAAATCCAAGAAGAAAGACAAAAAGGAGAAAAAATCGCATAAGAAAAAATCCAAACGATCATCATCAACCGATAGCAATAGTTCGGCCTCAAGTTCAAGTTCGTTAAAATTGTTGCAAAAATTGGAAACAAAGCGAATACAAGAGGTATTGGAGCGGAAAAAGCAAAAAGAGCTAATGAAACAAATGGAAACGCCGGAGGAGAAGCGAGCCCGTCGTTTGAAAGAGAAACAGGCGAAGGAGCTCAAACGAAGGGAACGAATGGGTTGGGATACCGAGTATCAGCACTACACAAACGAAGACAATCCATTCGGTGATGCGAATTTGACGTCAACATTCATGTGGAAGAAGAAATTGGAGCAAAAAGGCCTGGACAATTTGCGCGAAGAAGAAGTCGAAATAATCAATCGTCAAAAACAACTGGAAAACAAGGCCGAATTGGAAAAAGTGAAGAAAAGGCGTCAAGAACGTGAATTGGAGCAGCAGAGACGGGAAGAAGAGATGGCTGAAATGCAGCGTTCACGTGAAGCCGCACAGTTCGAAGAATGGGAGCGACAAGAGGACCAATTCCATTTGGAACAGGTATGTATGTAAGGTTTGATGAATAAGTGATAAACAAGATGAAGTAATTTCCATTAAGTGCAATATTCTTTATTCAATGTTCAATTTTTGTGTTCAAAATGTGGGATACAACGAAAAAAAATGTTCATTTGATTGGTTTCAATAGTTAACATTTGTGATTCTTACAAGCATCTGTCGAAAACTGTTCTCCACAATTTGGGCAGGATACAAAAGCTGTCTCAAACTTGCCGTGCATTGATAGTTGGTGTCTCTTCAAATCACCAGATCTTACATACGATTTTGTGCAATTCATCATCGGGCAATAGAATCTTTGCCAGTCATTAGAAGTATCGCCATAATTAGACTGCTCGACAACATTGTATGGAGTGTTGGTGTTGAACATTTGTGCAAACAGAAAAAGTCCAATCAAAAATTGAATTGTTTTATCATGGATAAGTTTATCCAAGTCCGAAACACCACTTTTTAGTCCACCTAATTGTTTGTTGTACAACATATCCTCATCACCATTTAAATGGAACATTTGATAGAGAGACATTTCCATCATTCTCAATTCTTTGTCTGTGAGTTTTTCGTTCGGTTCGAATATAATGCTGATGGCATTTGCAATGTTATTTTCGGCCTGAATGGCAACGTAAAATGGAAGACTTTTCTTATCTCCCCTGCGCCATTTGGAAAATCTGTGTAGCCACCGTTCGCGGAAATCCACGCACTGGCCAACATACGATTTTTCCTCCAATGTCATTTTAGCGTCAAAATTTCCAGCTCGGCCACAATACAAGACTGGTCCAAGTCTATCGTTTGTCGGCATCAATCCAAAATATTCCATGAATTTCTCTTCGCCAAAATCGATCAACTGTTTGAGTGTTAAGTGTTTGTATCGGTTGTCCTTTGTGATCGCAGAATATTTGACTTTGAAGGTTTTTACGTTTGCCGATATCTCATCATACTTAAACCAACGTGGTTGATTTCCACCTGGAAATTGCACTTGTCGTTCGGTCAATGTTATTCGATGTTCTGGTGGTAACACTGTAAGGCGTCGTTGCTTAATTTTCATTGGAATGGCATTGCCTGCCGCCTCATCACTTTTTGCAGCCACTTTTGCTGGCACTTTTGCTGGAATTTTTGCTTTTGGTGGATGAATTTTCGGCGTTTCAATTGCGATTGGCTCCATAAATGAGACTAGATCGGTTTGAGTTGCTTTTGCTTCGGTTTGCTTGCCAAATGATTTAATTAATTCATCGATTTTATTTTTCAAATCATTATTTTGTGCAAGGATTTCTTCACTTTGCTTTGCCAAAACATCCAGCCTGTTATGAATTATTTTCAATTCGGGTTCATTTTCTTTGTCTTTCAATTTTGATGGGCGCGGATTTGCGGCTTTGTCTCGCGAATTTGCGGGCGAACCATTGTGCGACTGAAGAACATTATTGTTTCGATTCGATTTTCTTGGAATTTTGGCGACCAACAGTTCATTCAGTGCAGGAAAACGACTTCCAGGTCTCTTTCGCTCCATTTCTGACGACGACAATTTACCTAATCTGTAAAATAAATTTCAATCTCCAAAAAAGTGTGTATTTCGGACTATTGCGAAATTATGTTGTGTGCCAATAAATTATGTGACTGTTGTGTGCGCGGACTACTGCGCAATTAAATTGTCTGTCTGTTGCGCGCGATGTTTTGTAGCCGTTCGGTTCACTCTCGTTTCGTTCACTTTAGCCCGGTTTACTCTCGTTCGGTTCTCGATTTAATAAATTGTATGTTTTTTTAATTCACAGCTGCGGGTGTTGCAAATATATGCACTAAAAATATTGTTAGTGTCTTTTTACAAAGCAAATCTGTTTCCATTTTGAATATTGAATAATAATAATATAATAATATAATATTTATATTTCATTTGGAACAGGCTCGTTTGCGTAGTAAAATTCGAATTCAAGACGGTCGAGCCAAGCCAATCGATTTACTCGCTCAATATGTGTTGTCGACACAAAATTTGGAGGAAACAATTGAAATGCAAATGCACGAACCGTACACCTATTTGAATGGCTTAAGCATTGAAGATTTGGAGGATTTACTGGAAGATATTCGAATTTACATGGAAATGGATAAAAGTGGTGAGAACGCCGGCTATTGGGAAGATTTAATCATCATTGCCAGCGATGAGCTGCAAAAATTGCAAAAAATGGAGCTGGGAAATGAATATAATGCCACATTGGGTAATCGTGAAGGGATCAATCAAAGTGTTGCTCGCGATGTGACGTCGTTGTTTCAGGGCAAAACTGCGAATCAACTGGATGAGCTGAAGATCAAAATCGAATCAAAAATCAATAGCAAGAGTGACGGTGTGGATATTGGATACTGGGAAAGCCTATTATCACAGTTGAAAGCACACATGGCCAGGGCTCGATTACGTGATAGACATCAAGAGAGTCTGAGAAGTAAGTTGGCATTATTGAAACGTGAACAAGTCGAAATAGATGAGCAAATGCAAGATGAATCCGGCAATGGTGAGCCGTCTACATCAGCAATTAAGCGAGAGACTAGCGATAATGACCACGATGAAAATAGCCAAGATATGGACGATGACGATAGAGAAGCCATGGATTTGCTATCCGATTGCTTTGCACTCTACAATAAAGGCAATTACTCACCCGAATATTTACGTGAAGAAGATATTGATTCCCATATTCGAGTCATTGACGATGATCAGCTTGAAGGGAATATTGAAAAGGTACGGAATCGTGTGTTAAACCGTGGTGATGATGATGAAGAAGACTTTGCCACCAAAGAGGAGATTCGATTGGCCAAACATTGCAGAGATGCACTGGGAACGAGCAATGAAGAAGCCGAATTCTCCGTTGAAACCAAACTCGACAACGAAGTGTACTTATGGAGCGACAAATATCGACCGCGCAAACCAAGATACTTCAATCGTGTGCACACTGGTTTCGAATGGAATAAATACAATCAAACTCACTACGATATGGATAATCCACCACCGAAAATCGTACAAGGCTACAAATTCAACATTTTCTATCCGGATTTGATTGACAAAAGTTCAACGCCACAATATTTCTTGGTAAGTGCTCACATTTCTTTGCTCTCTGAAAACAGATTGATTTAAAATCAAATTCCCATCAGATTCCGAATATTCGAAACTGGTTTGAAGATTGAAAATTGATTATTAACCAACTCTTTTTTTTTACAGACACCATGTCCTGACAACAAAGACTTTGCCGTATTGCGATTCCATTCCGGGCCACCGTACGAAGATCTGGCATTCAAAATTGTAAATCGTGAATGGGAGTTCAGTTATAAACGCGGTTTTCGATGTCAATTCCACAACAATATATTTCAATTGTGGTTCCACTTCAAACGTTATCGATACCGGCGCTAAACACAGTACCTCATCCAAAATTCATACGCAGATGTGTTTATTTTTATCAATCGTCCGAGTTACTAGGATTAGTTATTTGTTGGAAATGAACGTAGAACAAAAGCCAATTCTATAAATACTAATAAAATTATTTTAAGACCTGAACCAAAATCGTGTCTTTTCCTCTTTGAAGAAAACAAAACAGAACCAAATCGACGATAATTCGTGCCCTGAGCGTATTGATTAAATTTATTGAATATTTTAAGTTCATGTCCGCGAAATTCAAATAAGCGTAATGAACGTGAAACACGGTATAATCGTCGATTCACCGTACATCGAACAACGTAAAATACGTAGCGAACGTTCAATGGAGTGTAAATAATGCAAGCGGTTCATTTGGTGTGTGTGTATGTAATAAACTCATATCAATTTGAATGTTTGAATGTTTGAATGCTCACGCGATAATCATTGCAAATATGTGGAAAATCTCTTTCACAAAATTATTCAGAGTTTATTACGACGAAACACCAGAAATACATTGATAAAACGAAGGGACCACCAAATTATCTATATTTGGATTGTTTTCATTCAACGTAATCAAATTCTCACGCTTTATATGTCCAATAATCACGTGTCAAAATAAATGAGAGTGCCTCTTATATATTGCAAATAACAATGATTTTGATAAAGCATTCATGTTCTCGGCGAATGATGCGTCTAAAGGCCATCATTGCAATTATATGCGTCTCGGTTACAGAACTAAACGCAATTCAATCGTTCTTTTTTTGACCCATTTAGTTCCGTTGAAAAATACGTTCTTTCTGCATCGAAAACTATTGTTCAAACTATTTGGATATGCGTACATAATTTGGCATCAACATTGAAATGTCATCGGTGTTTGAGTGCTGTTTTTTTTTTGCTTTGTCTCATTCGAAAGGTGGTTGTGTGATAGATTTGGTAGACAAGTACGTAGTTCACAGTCAAACGCAATTGCACCAACAACCACACTGCTTTGAGATAACGGTTTGCCGAGAGACCGACAATCGGTTGGTGAAGTGAGTGTTGATGTGAAACCAAATTGCACAAAGCGACGCGCGTCAGTCGGTGTTTTTTCGTTGTCGTATGCATTACTATTTCTAAATTTCTATATTTTGTATCATTTTCTTTTCCACTTGGATTTTAAATCAAATTCTTTCCTTTTTTAGTCAATTTGCATTGTAGTAATTGTTGGTTTAGATTTTCAATTTCGAACACCATTTTAAAACATCCGATTTTGTTCAACTTTTCGCACATTCTTTTCGGTTGGTGATTTACTGAAATGTCTAGCAAAATGGGTAATGGTTCGGTAAAAGCAACCAAGGACGACAACGATAATGTCTTCAAAAATGAAAAGCAGAAGCAAATCAGTGTCCGTGGTATTGCGCAGCTGGAAAATGTGAACGAGATCAAGGCTGGTTTCAATCGTCATTTGCATTATACGCTAATAAAAGATCGAAATATTGCAACCACACATGACTTTTATATGGCCTTGGCTGCGACTGTTAAGGATCACATCGTTTCGCGCTGGATTCGCACACAGCAATTGAGCTATCAACGTGACCCAAAGGTGAGTAAGCGAACAACATTCCAAAACGACCAAAGCCGATTTGTAGTATTGCAAAAAAAAAAATTTCGGTGTGCTTTTTTGTCTCATTTTTTGATCTAAAAATTGGATTGCAGCGTGTGTACTATCTGTCAATGGAATATAATATGGGACGTTTTTTGCAAAACAATATGATTAACATTGGCATAGAAGATGCGTGTGATGAGGCTATGTATCAATTGGGCTTGGACATCGAAGAGCTGGAGGCAGTGGAGGGTGAATTGCATTTCAGCAATGGCAGCATGGGACGATTGTCGGCTTGTTTTTTGGATTCGATGGCATCGCTTGGCATTCCATCGTATGGTTACGGTATTCGGTACAATGCAGGAGCGTTTACACAACGAATTATCGATGGTGAACAACACGAAGACGTTGACGATTGGCTTCGCTTAGGCAATCCATGGGAACGTGCTCGACCGGAGTATTTGTTTCCCGTTCACTTTTACGGACGTCTCGCCAATACTCCCATCGGTCGCGAATGGGTCGACACACAAGTTGTTTACGCTGTTCCACACGATTTTCCCATCCCAGGTTACATGAACAATGTGGTCAATACATTGCGACTGTGGAGCGCTAAAAGTACCGAAGGATTCAAGCTGAAACTATGTAAGTTTGGATTTTATTTACAAACATTGAATTGGTTCAATTTCAAAACAAAAAAATTGGTTGCATATTGTAACGAAAAATTTACAAAATCAGATGAAAGTTCTGAAACCACTCAGTATTCATGTCAAGTACTAACTGATTATTACCATTCGTTCCAAAATACCGCAGTCAACAACGGCGATTACATTCAAGCGATTTTCGATCGATGCCTTGCGGAAAATATAACGCGTGTCATGTATCCAACGGCCGCCAATACCACTGAAAATCAAGAAATCCGATTGAAACAAGAATATTTCTTGTGTTCAGCGTCGCTGCAAGATATTATCGCTCGATACAAGAGCTCAAAGGTGGCACAAACCGATACGGGTCGCACAGATTACAATAACTTCGCCGAGAAGAATATAATCCAATTGAACAACACATATTCTGCATGGGTGATTCCGGAATTAATGCGACATTTGATTGATGTCGAGCACTACAGTTGGACGTCAGCATGGAAAATCGTTCGACAGTCATGTGCATTCACCAGTCATAACATTCTGTCCGAAACGCTGGAAAAATGGCCAGTCGATTTGATTCAAAAAGTTTTGCCACGTCACATGGAGATATTGTACCAGGTAACATAGGTCTTTTTATATTGTTTAAGTCCATGGCCAGTTGACCACCTTCATCCAATCGATTAATAGTCGTTTTTCATCATATTCAATTACAGATTAACTTTTTTCATTTGGAAAATTTGAAAGAGACATTCTGCGTAAATTTGGACAGCGTTTACGGCCTATCGTGCATATCCAATGAATGCTTTGACATGGCAACGTTGGCTGTTCTGGGTTCATGTGCCATAAACGGCGTATCAAAATTCCATTCGAATTACTTGAAAAATGTCACATTTTCACGTCTCTACGAACTGGAGCCGGAGAAATTTTTGAACATCACAAATGGCATCACACCACGACGGTGGCTATTTTTGTGCAATCCAACTCTCTCGAATGTGATAAGTGAGAAATTGGGCGACAAGTGGCCGGTCCAATCGGAAAAATTGGAATCGTTGCGGAAACTTTGTCGTGACAACAACTTCATGCGTGCTGTATCGAAAGCAAAAGAGGACAATAAGTTGAAATTGGCCGAAACAATTCACAAAAAGTATGGCATCATGATTGATCCATATTCGTTGTTCGATGTACAGGTGCATCGTGTACACGAATACAAACGGCAATGGTTGAACATTCTGCACATCGTCACGCTGTACAATCGAATCAAGTACAACAAAAACTATTTGTCGAAAACACGGCGCACCGTATTTATTGGTGGTAAAGCTGAACCGGGTGACGCTATTGGCAAGAGCATCATCAAGCTCATCACATCGATTGCCAAGATGATCAACGATTGCCCAGCCATTGATGGGAAACTAAAGGTTATCGTTCTCGAAAATTATGGCGTAACAGTTGCAGAGGAGATAATCCCATGTGCAGATTTATCTCAACATCTAACGTTGCCGGGCTCAGAAGCGTCGGGAACGAGCCACATTAAATTCATGCTGAATGGTGCTTTGATTATTGCCACCTTGGATGGCGCCACATTGGAAATTGTCAACGAAGTTGGCCACGTGAATATGTTCATTTTTGGCATGAACTTTGATGAACGCAAAGCATTACAATCCAAAAAATATGATCCAATGGAAGTGTACAGAAGTAATGCTGACTTGAAACAATGCCTCGACCAAATTCGCAATGGATACTTCAGCCCGGGAAACTTGGACGAGTTCACCGATTTGGTTGATCGCTTGCTGGCCGAGGATAAATACTTCATTTTGGCCGATTATGAAGACTACGTTCACACACAGGATCTAGTCTCGGCTACATACGAGGTGAGCTATTTATCTAACGTCAACTTTTTGTATTTTTCAATTCTTTAAACATTTTCTGCATTATGGCTAATCAAATTTTGCTCTTATTTTTCAACAGGATAAGAAGAAGTGGAACGAGATGGTCATCCGAAACATCGCAGTTGGCGGACGATTTTCCATCGATCGCACGGCCAGGGAATATGCCAAATTGATTTGGAACGTTGAACCAAACATGCAACCTCTGCCAGCTCCCGCCGATTGAAATACAAAATGAAGGCATCACCCATTACTTTGGTCCATTCAGCACGAAATAAACGCCATAAATTATTTTTATACACATTTTTTGAAAAATTAAATTATAAATATCTTTGAGAATTTTCATTAAACGTTATAATTGTAAAATAAATGATTAGGTCCTTAATCAAAATACGTCATTCATTTCGTTTCATTACGTAGTCACATAATAGAAAATCGAATGAAACAACTTAATCAAATTTAGTAGAATTCTATACGAGATAAAAAAAATTATTTATATGATGCTGTTGGGAAGAAAATAATACTACTCGTTCTGATTTCTATTTCAAGTCGTTTATTTCAATTCATTGCATGCAAAAGTACAATATTGCCTTATGTTAAGGTTTTTTTCATGAATTCAGTATTTTTTCATCTAGAATTTATTTCGATACACTTGCGGTTTGCATTCAATACATGATCTGGAATATCAGTCGTGCAATGAACACACTTAATTACAACCTTTACGCGACCTCTTGCTAGAGCCAAAATTGAATTATAACTGTCTGAATCTATTTTAAAGTAAGCTCCCCCAGAAGAAAGGTTTAACTTCATGCAAATTACAAGGCGCGACAAATTTTGGCCATATTCGCGGGCTTTTTTTATTGACCAACCACAAATGTCTGTGCATCTGGACACGGTCAATTCTTTCAAACTGGGTATTTGTTTGGTAAATACAATGAACATTTTTTCAGAAACATAACACACACTTAGTTTTTTAAGCGTTTTCAATTCTAATACACTATTTAATGTTCCAGTATTTTCGCCGGTGTGGCTAATCAATTCAAGATCTTCAATTTGGATATCGTTTCTAACGATAAAATCAGTCAGAACCTGTGTTGACAATACATTATCAAATGCAATATGCAAGCACCGTAATTTTTCGCCGATATGAAGTATATTTTCTTCAAGGTTTATATTATCCACTCTGGAAGCAGTAACATGTAGGACCAATTTTTCAAGGTTTGGCACACGACTTCCGATATTGCGTAGAACTGATGATATTAGATTTCGACAACAACTTGAGAGTTCAACGTTAGGAATTCAACCAATAAAGGTCTTTTTATATTACTGTAGTGTATAGCCACCTCGTCCAAATGCGGAAATGTTTGCTTCATCCAATCGTTTAATAGTCGTTTTTTATCATATTCAAATACACGTCTGAACAACGTCATTTTTTTAGGTTGGAGCAATTTTCAATGTGCCACACTTTAGAATCAATCGATTCCAATTCTTCCAACGCTGAAAATGGTTGAAGTCTATTGAAATCAATATTCAAATAAAAAACTTGCAATTTTCTCAATGTTCTCCCACAGAATTGTGCAACCGTTTTGAGAATTTCTTTGTTGGGAATCAGTGGTTTATGAAAATAAGGAGGTGAAAATCCTATATAATCAACCAAAGTATAAAAAAGCTCAGAAAACTATGTACACGTTCAAACGGAATAATGTTATAAAATAAATGTGCGTGGGTGACCGATGTTCCTATATTTCGACCAAAAATTTTTTTGCGTTGACCTGGAACCGAGTGCATGTTTCCGCTGCGCTCAAAAAATCTTTGCAAGTATGTTATTTGACGCAACACCAATTGAATACAGTCGTCGTTGCGACGAATCTGGTGACGGTGGATTGTCCATACTGGATTCACACAGATCTTGACACCGGTTGATGATTCAACACACAAATAGAGATTCTGGAAATGATTGAACACACCAATAGAGTGTCTGATTATAGAAGTTGAACACATTACACTTACGGTTCTTTGCTACTTCAATTATGTTGTGGAAAATGTTCCAAGTTAGTGGGTTATGGGAAGAAAAATGTTGTGATTCAAAAAATACTGGATGGAAATGATGTGGTAAGTATGAGGTATTGGTGAGTGTGATGAATTTTAATGATGATATACTGAAGAACGAAAGAGGGATGAATGTTTTTTGATACATGCAAGAAGCAATGTGGATTTTCAGAAAACTGTTCGAGTGTTGCTTTGACCTTTACTCATTATCATAATCTCTCTCTTTTCATGATTCTCCTGCTCGTTGCTTTGGACTTTTCTTAAGTCTACACACAAAGAGAAGGTAGAATTTATGGATTGCAAATTGAGTTCGTACGATTCTAGCATTCGTTGGTAAAATACTCGTCTAATATGCTCATCGTATGATGACAACACTCTCCATATCTACAATAATGTCCGTAGTATAGTTTTATCTATGCTGAGAACTGTATCCATCGAATCTAATGTAGATATGGCAACATAAAAAAGGCAAAAAATCGAATGTCCTTGACTTTTATACGAATATTTTCTTTATTAAACTTTAAATTTCTTTGCGAATTTCCATCTTAAATAGGCGATTTTATTTTGATAGCATCAAATTTGGTTAGTTAGTCATTTCTTCATCGAGGGTTTTTGCCATCCATTCCGGCTCGGCAGATCCAATTTTTTCGATGACACCATTCACCTGATAGCAAATTGACTGGATTTGTTTGTCCCAAAGCGGCAGAATTTCACGTGCTACAAGAGACAGACGGATTTGTATCAGAACAGTAACGAAACATGTGAAGATTGTCCAAATTCGGTTTCTTTGTTCATAAAGCTTACTTTCAAAATGAACGATTTCATCGATTTGATCGATGTATCCATTCATACGTTCTTCGGTGAGCATTTGCGATGCGATTCGTTCAGCCTTCTTCGGATCGATTTCAAGTAGTGCGCCCAATTCTTCGAATGTGATATTGTTGTATAGCTTGCTGGCCGATAGCAAGTTGTGTTCGAAGACGGCACGATCCAAAATCGATGATCCATCCAATGTGCTTGCCTTCTGATGAACTTGCAATAAGGCTTCGAATTCTTGCAATTCCGAGCGACGAATGATTCGATCCAAGTACATTTTCTCTAGAATTGCATAGGCCGGCAAATGCTGGCATCGTTCATCCTTGAAGAGTGTCGCCAACATGCGTGAACGTTGTTGACCAGCCGATGCCAAAATCGTGCAAATGAGCGCATTCTTCAGTGCTGTCATTCGTTCCCCCTCATCGATGATGGTACGGTATGAGAGTTCATTGTATCGTTGTGCGGCCTCAATGAATTTGCGCCGATAGTCAAGAACACGAGCATAGCATACCTTGTACAGAACATGGAGCTCTGTTTTTTTGGTTTCACCTTGCAACAGTGACGCACGGTTAATGTACGCCTCGGCCTGAATTGGATCATCGTCCTCTAGATATAGGCGAGCGATTTTCAAATACGTTTCCAACTTATAATCAACTGTGTATTGTCTGAAAGAGAATCAAGATTGACCAAGAATAGCATTCAATTTCTGAATAACCGAAAATAATCACGAAACAATGAAAAATATCTCACTTTTGACCCGTTTCCAATGGAATCCCAACCAAAACGTTGGCCGCTTCTCGCCAATTTTCTTCGCGTTCGTAGATCTGTGACAAATGCTGACGAATGTTTGCCACTTGTTCTTCGAACGAAATGACACGCGGTTGCACTTTATCCAGTGTGAAATGCGAAATGGTCTTCGAAACATGATCGGCTAACGACATCAAATGATTGCCAACATCGGTGAGTAATTGACGTGAAATCACCAAACTGACATGTTCATTGACAACTGGAAGAAAAATGAATTTTATGTGAGAATTTAGTTCAATATGGCAATGCATGTTCATAAATAAAAAACTACTTACTCGCTTCAATAAACAGTTTGAGTGTGTCGACCAATTCGGCTTCATTGTTCGACAGAATGCTGTCCAACAGGACGCGATACCTAAAATGTAAATATGGAGTCGTTTAAAAAAAACGCAATTTCATAACAACGATGAAATACCAACAATGAACGAATAAAAAATTGTTTGTGTCTTACTTATCAGCATGTTCTCTGTGTGTACCGCTGAAATTTGTCAGTGAAACCAATTGTGTGCGTAATGTGCTGGCCGTAATAACCATTTTTTTCAGCTCTAGCTAATTTCTACTTAATTCCAAATGACAAAAAAATTTAATTCGAAATCACAAATGGTGGTGTTTTATGTTGCGATAGATTCTGTTTGATGGGCCAATTCTATTTTTTTTTCACCGTCATTCACACAGCCCGGCTGTTGTTATAACAATAAATGAAACTGTGTTGACAGACGAACGAAAAGTGACATTTCATTCCGTGTGTGTTTGTGTTGCCTGATGTGCCGAGACCACTTTCGCTTTTCATATTGAAACGCAAGCAGACACACTTATTATTATCCAGCCCAACAAAAATCTGATTCATATTTATTTGGTCCTGTGGTGAAAATATACACTGTGCATTGTTTGGCGGTTTACTTCTTCTAATGAGTGAGTGTTTCTTTGTTGTCCATGTGTGACACTTTTTGACTTTCATCGATTCGCATCGTGACTGTATTTGTTAGATTAAATTTTTCGCATTGCATGTGCGTTTCAGTTACGGTAAAACTAAAACCATACGGAAAAAGTCACCTCATCCACATACCATACCTAATTCCACAACATTTTCTCTAATTTCTTCATATTTTTCTGAATAAAAATTCCATTTTTCTACAATGAGCGTTTACACAGAAGAATATTTGAAGAATAAATTAACCGAAAAACTAAATGCTGCATTCGTGGTAAGTTGAACGAAAAGAAGAAAATAAGTGGAACAAATGAAATTTTTACTTAAGAGGAATTTATCATGTCTGTCATTGGTAACAGTGAGAAAGAGAGAGCGTGTGTTCTGTGTATAGAAGCGATGCAATCGCATTGACATATAACACGTATTGAATGAGTCGAGTGCCGATGTCAATTCTCAGATTTTGTTTGACTCATGAATTAAACAATGTTTTTTTATTGTTAAACCGCATTTTGTGTGAAGTTTTCAAAAGATCTTTTGTTAATTTTGGTGGAAAATAAGTGTTAAATATTTAATGAGCAAAGTAGATAGGAAAAATGTGGCAAATTACGAAACCGCAGATATTTTTGTTGGCATGTGGCGCATTCACACTACGCGCTATCATATCACTTCAATCATATTCTGGATTTAATAAGCCGCCAATGTATGGAGATTTCGAGGCACAGCGTCATTGGCAGGAAGTAACAATCAATTTGCCGATCGCTGATTGGTATACGAATACCAGTGATAATGATTTGATGTACTGGGGCTTGGATTATCCTCCGTTGACGGCCTATCATAGTTTCATCAATGGATGGGTCGCACAGAAATTGAATGCATCATACGTTGAATTGCATACATCTCGTGGCATTACAACCGAAGAACATCATAATTTTATGAGGAACACCGTGTTAGTGGCTGATTTTCTACTCTACATTCCGGCTCTAATTATTGCTGTCAAATCGATTGGATTACAATGGCATCCAATACTGAGCTTATTAAGTTTGATTGTTGTGCTATTCTATCCCGGTCAAATAATCATCGACAATGGGCACTTCCAATACAACAACATCTCGCTTGGTTTTGCTGCATTGGCCATTGCTGCCATCTTCCGGAAATCCGAACGACTTGCCGCTGTTCTATTCGTTCTGGCATTGAACTATAAACAAATGGAATTGTATCATGCTCTGCCGTTCTTCCTCTATCTTCTTGGACATAGTTTCACAAGTTCTAAACAAAAATCGACGAGTTTCAGTCAACGATGCGTGGCTGCTGTTAAAAATGTCGCAATCTTGGGATTGATTGTGTTGTTCTCATTCGCATTGATTTGGGCACCATGGCTGCGATCGATACATCACCTCAAACAACTCCTTCATCGACTCTTTCCCGTGGCTAGAGGCGTTTTCGAAGATAAAGTCTCGAATGTTTGGTGTGTCGTTAATGTTTTTTATAAACTAAAGTGAGTTTTGAGGAACGAAAATCCGCTCATTCGTATCACTTGTGCAACTTAGAATATTTCATCTTTTGTTTCAGAATGCATTTTACAAACGAGCAAATGGCAATTGCTTGCCTTATCAGCACACTGATTGCTATCTTGCCGAGCAGCATTCACTTGTTGTTGAATCCACGAAAAGAAGCATTCCTATTGAGCTTGATAAACAGTGCACTTGCATTCTTCCTATTTTCATTTCAAGTAACTATTCCATTATCGCTTTGTTTTTTTTCTATTTTATTTTACGAGTTAGCATCAGATGCAAATTCTGATTTCTAATCTGATATTTTCTAGGTGCATGAAAAATCCATTTTACTCGTCACACTACCAGTCATGCTATATTTCCGAATGGATCCATTGTGCGCGCTATGGTTTCTGCACATTGCAACATTCAGTATGCTACCGTTACTTGTGCTCGATCAGCTGATTTATCCAACGGTTGTTCTCACCTCTATTTATCTAATGTTGATTCGAGTAGCCATACGATGGTCGGTAAACGATGAGAAAACGACAAAGCTACCGCTATGGGACGTACTATCGTTAAGTAGCATTAGTGATAACAAATTATTCGTCGGTATCTTTTACATGAGCACATTTGTTGGTTGCTCGTTACTAGTTGTCGGTCAAGTTTTTGTTCGTCCACCGAACTCATTACCATTTCTCTTTCCATTGTTAATCTCAGCCTATAGCTGTGCGCATTTCGTGTTGTTCTTCATTTATTTCAACATTCGTCAAATATTTGGTGGGGCAACTGTGAAAATTGACAACGTACAACGTGTCACCAGAAAGACGACCAGCAGAGTAGCGACTAACAAAAAGTCAAATTAGTAAATAAATAGACATTTCCAGACAGATTCGAGTGTGTGTATTCCGAAAATAATAAAAAGAAGAAGAAAAAAACATCAAATCAAATCTTTTTTATCATTGAAAAAAAAAAACCAAAACATTTCCAATTCAATAGATTCCATTTGATAAAAATACCGTATAATATGTATTACAAGTGATTGATGTTAATCGTTTGTTTTGCTTTTTCTATTCCACAGAAAGTTGTTGACGAATCAGACGGTTGTGGTGGCAAATTTAATGTGATTATTGTATCGCCAGAATTCGAAGGAAAATCGATTTTACAACGCCATCGTCTTGTGAACTCAGCAATTGCCGAGGAATTGAAAACCATTCACGCTTTCTCGCAGAAGACATTCACACCCGAGCAGTGGGCCAAGGAACAGGAGAAAACCGCCTAAACAACCGTGTACTTTTCATCAAATAAAGGGAAAAGAAAACCAAACCAAACAGTAATGTTGAAATATAATAAATAATCGGTCCATTCCAGCGACGAAAACAACAAATTTGATTTTTATTTTTCATTAATAATCGTAGATCGTTCGAATTCGACCCAGCCTTTTTACTTAATAAACATAATAATAGCAGACCGTAAGACGAGAGAAAGTGAGCAGAAGAAAAATCATGACCATAGTATTTACAGTATCAGCACCGGGAAAAGTTATATTGAATGGCGAACATTCTGTGGTATACGATAAGCCAGCCCTGGCTGGAGTGGTTGGATTGCGAACGAACGTCACTCTTAAAGTACGTGTGTGCTTCAATTGAAATCCACTTGCAAGCAAACAATTAATTAAAATGATTCAATGATAAAAAATTTTTTTGATTTTTATAGGAGACTGATAACGATTATGTGAAAGCCGTATTTGATTCATTCCCCGACATATCACCCAGCTATCATTTGAACACTTTAAATGAATTGCTCAAGAAACTACAGAAAAAATTCAATGTCGTTGACCTGCTCAACGAATTGGAGACTGAACACGACGCATTTCTGGTAATAGTACAACAATTTGTTCAAGAGAACACACAATTGGATGGCATCAGTGACGAGCAAAAGAGTATTATGCACAAGATCATGACGGGCATAGTGTATTTGCTTGCAGCTTTGGAAGTTAACTACGCTGCATCGAATGGCATTGAATCGGCCTTGAAGCGAGGATTCAATATTGAATTCAAGAGTCAAATTCCGATTGGTGCCGGTTTAGGTAGCTCAGCAGCGTTTGCTGTTTGTGTTGCCGCCATATTTCATGTGTATGCATTAACACATTCACAGCCAAACTTTGTGCGAACATTCGTTGAGACAGCTTCCGAAGAAGAGCGTCAATTTTTCAATAACACGGTGTCATCGTGGGCCTATCAATCCGAACGTATTATGCATGGAACACCGTCTGGCCTTGATAACACCGTTTGCACATTCGGCAATGTTGTTCAGTACACGAAAACACCCAAGAAATTCATCAATATCGCACTTAAGTCGCCTATCAACATAATGCTCGTCAATACGGGCGTTAGCCGGAACACATCGGAAATCGTACACAAAGTGAGAGAATTGAAGAACGATCACACCAATGTGATTGAGTTTATCTTTGATGCGATGGGTGCACTTGTTGATGACGTTGTTCAGGTGGGAATCAAGTTTTGCATAAGATTGTAATGAAAGCCAATTGCAACTATAGGCTAGACAAGACTAGAGTCTCAATTCTATCTATGTGTTACATGGGGCTTAATCAGTTGGATCTGTATATTTCTAGATTCTAGAGAATGTAAATGAAGTGTCCGATGTAGAGAATTACATGCAGCTCAAGCGACTTTTTTACATAAATAACAATTTGCTACGTGCATTGGGTGTTTCGCATCCAGTGTTAGAAGAGATCTTTGCGACTAGCGAGCGTCTTGGTTTTTGTGCCAAATTAACTGGTGCCGGAGCAGGAGGGTAAGGCCATAATAGTAATTAACAAGACAATGAAAATGAAATTACAACATATCATCATGACTATTCCAATTTTGTTGGCAATGTCATATTTTACAGGTTTGCTATCATTCTACTGCCGCCGTCCTATGCTGGTTCCAAGGCATTCCACAATTTATCAAAGGAGCTAAGTCATTTTGAAACAAATGTGACCACAATTGGAGGGACTGGCTTACAAATATCCGAATAATACAGACAAAAAAATAGCCACTTAATAAGAGCTTAACTATATCTCGCTGGTGCTGGTCTTTCGTAGAGCGATAGTCATAGATAGAAATTTAAAGAGAAGCAAAAATACAACACAAGAATATATACTCATTTCGCGTACATTCATATAAATGAATGAGACGATATTATTTATTTTTCTGGCTTAAATAATAATAGATATTACAATATTCCCCTATGTAAAGTATTACAACAACAAAAAATGACAATAATAAATTGATTAAATGGAAATTGGTAACGGAAAACCCAGTCTTTGTGTGTATATAAAAATTCATTCGATTCCATCGAAAGTGTTGCAACCTATTGAATATGACAACCCACAAGCGATAACATTGACTTTGACAATTCTGTCGACTTGGATGGAAATGTCAAAGTAACACACATTGAAACCACACATACGGAATATGCGTCGACTATAGTCTATTTGTTTACAATACGTCGACGGCATTGAAATAACTTTATCGAGAGCGAAAAAAAAACAATTTTGGTCTGTAGCTAAATTTTGGAATCATCATTGATGTGTAAATTGGCGACACACTGTTGTCAAATTGGTGTAGCACAAAAGAATAATCACGAAAATTTAAAGTGAAAAGAAAAATGGTTGTACGCACAAAGAGCGAACTAGTCCAGTGTTGGGCTCGTATCAGTGTATGCTTTTGATGAACATTCGTTCTGCAACATTTAGTTTAAACGTACAAAAGTGCTCGGATGTGCAATGTCTGTGCTTGTTTTTGTTAATTTTTTCGATGGTGTTCGTTCAATAGACTAGAATTTTCAAATGATTTAGTTTTTTTTTGATTTTGTGTTTCGACATTCTGGATGAAAACAATAACAACAACAACAACAACACAGAAAGAGTTAGAGAAAAAAGAAAAAAAAAAAACAAAAAAAACACTAGGTAAATGTGTCGTAATGAAAGAGAGTCGACGGGGAGATTCTTTTCGGTTTGATATGCGGAAAAGTGTCGAAGTGCAAGTTGGTAGTGATTTTGCTCTTTTGTTGCCCAGTGGGGCTTATGAAATTAAAAAAATGCAGCCTCGCCGCAGGCTTCGGGGAATCGTTTTTGTTTGTTTGACGCTTGCCGTCGCTGGCATCATTGGTTTTGGTTACTTTTGTCCCGAACAAGTATGTGCGCTGACCAAACGTGGTGCAGTTTCATCGGAAGTGGGCTTTACTAGTGCACTTCAAATAACATTAGGAAAATTGCGAGAACAAATGGGTGCAATACCTGGCCTTAGCTATGACGATGTATTAAAAGATGACTTTCAATTCGATATGGATGCGCATGATGTTATGGTCTTTCTGCATATTCAGAAAACGGGCGGAACATCGTTTGGCAAGCATTTAGTACAAGATTTGGACCTGAAGCGTCCTTGTGAATGCCAACGAAAGCGCAAACGTTGTTATTGCTTTCGAACACATCGAAATGAAAATTGGCTTTTTTCACGATATTCAACGGGTTGGAAGTGTGGCCTTCATGCAGACTGGACGGAGCTGACGAGCTGTGTCGATCGTGAACTGAACAAAAATGAAGGAGAAATTGCCAAACGACGATATTTCTATATCACAATCTTACGTAAACCGGTCGTTCGGTATTTATCTGAGTTTAGACACGTACAACGTGGAGCCACATGGAAAACAGCTAGACACTGGTGTTTGGGACGACAAGCCACTGCCAATGAACTGCCACCATGTTATAATGGCGAAACCTGGGTGGGTGTGAATTTGGAGGAGTTTATGGATTGCGATAGCAATTTGGCGACAAATCGACAAACACGAATGTTATCGGATTTAGCGTTGATCGGATGCTACAATAAGTCTTCGATGCCGGCTCACGATCGTGACCGTATCATGTTAGCCAGTGCCAAAAGAAACTTAGCAGCCATGTCATATTTCGGATTGACTGAATATCAAAAGGTAAAATTATTCAATTCCAATTCATTAATTCTAATCACGTAGGAGCGCGTATGAACCGTGCGCACGGTTGTCGTGCGGCGTTTTGTATGTACATTGTACAGTGTACACACTTAACATATTAATGTTTGGTGTCGCTTTGTGTATATAACCAATTGTCATTCTCAATTATGTGCGTTCTTCCTCTCTATCTCTCTCTTTTCAGATATCTCAATACGTTTTTGAGGAAACGTTTAATTTACGCTTTGCCATACCATTCGAACAGCATAACACCACTGTATCAAGTTCAACGTTACACCATTTGACGCCGAAACAGGAAGCCAAAGTGAGAGAGTTGAATGCACTGGACATTGAACTGTATGAGTTTGCCAAGAAGTTGCTGTTTCAACGATTCGAAAAGCTGAAAGCCAAAGATGTGAATTTCGATGAACGTTTCAATCATTTGGGTTTGCTATCCGGCAAGAATGGTGTTACTGAATTCAATTGGGATCGTAATTTAGACGAAACAAACTGAGCGCTGTTTTCTCACAACAATACAACCATTGAATGCGACAAAATGAAATGACACTCGACACAATAAGAAGAGAACAAATTGTTCGAGACGAAGAAAAAACAACACAAAGAGAACGACGGAGACGGAGACGGAGAAAGCAAACACATTTTCCAGTGACGAATATTGATTGTGATAAATTTTTGGAATACAGGCAGATAGGTCAAGTGTTTGAAAAGAGTTTCGAGTTGAGAGTGTGGCATTAGGGAAGGTGGGGCGCATTTTTTTTCGAATGGAAGTGGTCGTTGAATTGAACAGAACAAACATTTTTAACAAATATATATAGAGACGATTCTTCCGCGCAAAATTCGTTTCGCACGCGTTTCACAAATCAGCACAAATAGAGAGATATATTTTTTCATAAAGTCGACAGCGCACGCACCCTTTTCTTTTCGAATTTCACAAGACGTTTCCTGAACTCGAAATAATTACAAAGAAAAATCGTTGAAACAAATCCGCCTCATATTTTAATCATGACCGAATTGAGTATTGACAGCAGCAAGAGAAAAAAAGAAGAAAATATCATCGAAATTCCGCTAAATCCAATGCGGATCTTATTTGAATGACTTTATGGAATGCTCTAATTAAATCATCCTGAGAATTCTCATACACAACAATTCGATCTAATTAACAACCATGATAGAAGATGCATATATTTTTTGAAGCAGACGAAGAAAAAAAATCGAAAGATAATCATGAACCGTAATATTTAGACACACAACAGTCACAGAGTGAATAAGGCATTCTTAGATTTAATTGAACAACAAACATCGCGCAACAAAATAAACCAACAAATGATGTAGTTATTACTTTTTAATTATGATTATAACGAGTTTGTTCTAAAAACAGAACCGGCGTATATAAGCAAATATCTCAACCTTCATTTGCCAAAGACTAATTTAGTTTGTATCAATCAAGTTTTTATCGATATAAGTTTTTCGCAACACGTTCAATACGTTTCATTGTGCGTAACTCAACAAACAAATGATTAGCATTTTATGTAGCGAAGTCACCAAAACACACAATTTATCATATACATTTTAAAGACTAACTAGGCGACATTTAATTTTAGTCATATTACGTTTCCTTTCATATCAGTCAGAGATTTCTTCTCATTTTGACCATAATTTTTTTTTTTTTTCGAATCGATGAGCAGCGAAAAACGGCTAATTATGTCTGTATTATTTCAGTACCATAGAATGTATATGCTCAATGCATTTAAACAAAGAAAATCAACCAGCTGTCTCCGTTCTACAAACAAACAAACTGCTATTTTATGAAGCCATTTTTTATAACAAAAAAAAGAACCTGTAACTGAAATTAGAAAAAGGAAATAAAATAACATAAAATAAAAGACATAAATCGAATGGATTTTTTTTTCTGTGCATGCCGATGTTGTTTTTTCCATCCGTTTATCTGAATAGGCTGCTGCTGCTGCTGCTATACAAAATGTTGAACACTAAAAATGGTCAGCGGTAACATTGACTTTGACAGTTCAAGCAACTGTCAAAATAACACACTATAATTACATCGTTTGTTGGCATTTGTTTGAAAAACGTTTAAACATCGTCAAATATTGTTGCGGCTTTTCCGTAAAAATCAACATTCTGAACACGATAAAACCGATACAATGGCAGATAGTAAATCATCGCGAAGGCGTAAATATTCGACCAGTTCGAATAGCAGTGTGGATAGTGCTGAAGATGAGCGACGCAAGGATTTAAAAGAACGAGACGAGTTCGCGAACCGATTGCGGAAAAAGGATGAAAGTCACACAAGAAAAGTTACCGAGGTAAGTAAATGCAATGGAAATGTTAAAAGAGATAAAGATATTTATGATTGTTTGGTTTATTTTTTATCAGGCTTCGGGTAAAAAAGGCTTCGAAGAAGCGGCAAAACGTCTCAAAATGGAACTGGAGGATCGTGATAAAATCGTTCCAAATTTGCGTGTACAATCTCGACGTATCTATTTGGAGAAGCGTAAAGAAGATAAAGTTACCGAGTTGGAAGCAGATATTGCCGATGATGAATATCTTTTCCATGATGAAGTGTAAGTCCATATCATTTCTGTTCAATCAATGTAAGCATTGTAATCAATGTCGAAATTCTCTTTTCAACTGCGTAGTTTGACAGAACGTGAGAAATTGGATCGTCAACACAAGAAACAACTGCTGCAAATTGCCCGAGATCATGAAAAAGCCCGTGAGCTGGAACGTGTGCAACGATATCATATGCCACAAGACAGGAAGAAGGGTGAAAAAGAGGAGTACTATGAAGTCGATGACCGTGAAAAGCTACCAAATTCGGAGCAAAAGAAATGGGAAAGCGAACGATTGGCATCGGCAATGTACAAGTTCGGTGCAAAAGATGCGACCGATAAACAGAGGCAACAAGAGGAATATGAGCTGCTGTTGGAAGATCAAATTGAATTCATTCAGGCCATGACCATGGATGATTCGAAGAAAAAGGAAAAAGATGAACCGAAAATATCAGAATCACAGAAAAAACGCATGGACATCAAAGAGACAAAGGAATCATTGCCAGTGTATCCATTCAAAGAAGATTTAATCGCGGCCATTCGAGAGCATCAGGTAAGAATTACATTACTTTTTCATACAACAGTTAATAAACTTACATACAGAAACAAAGAAACTAAACTACAGCATGTTCAATTTCGTATTTCTTGCAGGTTTTGATCATTGAAGGAGAGACTGGCTCGGGTAAAACTACACAAATTCCACAGTATTTGCATGAAGCGGGTTTCACGGCTGATGGAAAAAAAATCGGTTGCACTCAACCGCGTCGAGTTGCTGCGATGTCCGTGTCAGCACGTGTGGCCGTTGAAATGGGCGTAAAGCTAGGCAACGAAGTTGGTTATAGCATTCGATTCGAAGATTGCACGTCCGAACGAACAGTTTTGAAATACATGACTGATGGTACGTTGCATCGTGAATTTTTGTCAGAGCCCGACCTTGCCTCTTACAGCGTTATGATCATCGATGAAGCTCACGAACGGACACTTCACACTGATATTCTGTTTGGTCTCGTTAAGGATATTTCACGTTTTCGACCAGATTTAAAATTGCTCATTTCGTCTGCTACATTAGATGCAGAGAAATTTTCGCAATTCTTTGATGACGCGCCCATTTTTCGGATTCCCGGTCGTCGGTTTCCGGTGAGTAACTATATTTCATTGCATCGTTTCAATCATATTCAAAATTACATTTAAAACATTTAAATGCATCTCATTTCATTATTGCGCAGGTCGACATTTACTACACAAAAGCACCTGAAGCTGATTACATCGATGCATGTGTTGTGTCCATTCTGCAAATTCACGCGACGCAGCCACTTGGAGATATTTTGGTTTTTCTCACGGGTCAAGATGAGATTGAAACATGCCAGGAGATGTTGCAGGATCGTGTAAAACGTTTGGGTACCAAATTGCGTGAATTGGTCATTTTGCCTGTTTATGCCAATTTACCAAGTGACATGCAAGCCAAAATCTTCGAGCCAACACCGAAGAATGCGCGAAAAGTGGTGCTCGCTACGAATATTGCCGAGACATCTTTAACCATTGACAACATTATTTACGTGATTGATCCGGGTTTTGCGAAGCAAAATAATTTCAATTCTAGAACTGGTATGGAATCACTTATGGTCGTGCCGATAAGCAAAGCGTCAGCAAATCAGCGAGCGGGTCGAGCTGGCAGAGTAGCAGCGGGTAAATGCTTTAGATTATACACTGCATGGGCATATAAACAAGAATTGGAAGATAATACTGTGCCCGAGATTCAGCGTATAAACCTTGGAAATGCCGTTCTAATGCTGAAAGCGCTGGGCATCAACGATTTAATTCATTTTGATTTTTTGGATCCGCCGCCGAATGAAACCCTTGTACTCGCCTTGGAGCAGCTGTACGCTTTGGGTGCACTGAATCATCACGGTGAATTGACTAAATTGGGTAGACGGATGGCCGAATTCCCCGTTGATCCATTGATGGCGAAAATGTTGATCGCTAGTGAGAAGTACAAGTGTTCCGAGGATATTGTTACAATCGCTGCAATGTTATCCGTTAATTCGTCGATTTTCTATCGACCCAAAGACAAAATCATTCACGCAGACACAGCCCGCAAGAACTTCAATCATCCGCATGGTGATCACTTGAGTTTGTTGAACGTGTACAATCAATGGGTTGAAACTGATTACAGTACACAATGGTGCTACGAGAATTTCATACAATATCGATCGATGAAGCGTGCTCGAGATGTACGCGATCAACTGGTTGGTTTGATGGAACGTGTTGAAATTGATATGGTCTCATGTCTACCAGAAACGATACCAATTCGGAAGACTATTACAGCTGGTTACTTCTATCACATTGCTCGGCTGTCGAAAGGTGGCAACTATAAAACGGCAAAACATAATCAAACGGTCATGATACATCCAAATTCAGCATTGTTCGAAGAGCTGCCGCGATGGATTTTGTATCATGAGTTGGTGTTCACAACCAAGGAATATATGCGACAAGTCATCGAAATTGAAAGCAAATGGCTGTTAGAAGTAGCTCCTCATTACTATAAACCGAAAGAGTTGGAAGATTCAACAAATAAGAAAATGCCCAAAACAATGGGACGAGCTACGAAAACGGAATAAAATTGTAAATTTAAAAAGTAATTTAACAAAAGACGAGGAATTTTATGATTTTCAAAAGAAAAAACAAGAATAAAGAAAAAGTTGAACAATTTTAAATGTTTTGCCTTGAATAGGCCTTTTTTGTTTGTTTGTTGAGAGGCTTTAACAACCCGAAAAGTCTGCATACCGAGATGTCATCTGGTGGCAATTGCTGGTTTTGACACATGTCCGCCATCTTTACATTTTTGTATGCCATTCAAATAGAAAAAAACAAGCGTCTGTGTTTCATTCGGCGTTGTGTGTGATATTGGAAACAGTGAGAATAGTGAGACAAGTAAAAAAAACGAACGAAAATTCGAAATTGGTGAAATAGTTGCGTGAAAAAATGGCTCTCTTAGGACCAAAAAAGGATGGTGGTCCGAATACGGAGTTTTTTCAATCGCCGGAATCGATGCAGGGATTCGAGCAAGTGCGACAATGGCTTCAGAAAAATTGTAAAAAAGTAAGCATTAGGCGGGTTAGCCGCCATTCTTCATACATATATGTGCATATGCACAATATACACCGCACACGACACATACACCACATACAAAAACAACTACTCAATACCAGCCATGTTGAAAACGAAACCAATTTTTCGATTAAATATGTGTCGAAACAATGCAATGCATGCGATTTTTATGGAAAATTAAATATTTTTCACATGGAATAATTTATGAGGAATGTAAATGGTTAATTTTTATATGTATTTCCTTTGCGTTTTCAGTACGTTCAATCAGATCCACCGACAAAGGAATCGCTGTCACAATTGCTCATTTCATTCATACAATTTCAAGAGACTCGATTCGGCAAAGGTGCATCAGAACCACCGATAATGCGTTTGCCAATGCGATGCTTCTTGGATTTTAAGCCCGGCGGCAGTTTGTGTCACATTTTTTCGAATATGTATCGCTACAAAGCCGATCAACGCTGGCGCAAATTCGAGTTCAACGTAACCAAGACAGCACGCAAAGATAAGGATCCAAACATTCAAATGGCTACTGAAATTCTGGAGAATTTAATCGATCAGGAATGTTTCCGATTGCCAACAGCGTTCATTCGACCCGAAGTCGATGAGGATTTGCGTGAAAAAATCACTGAAATTCTGAAGGATCATCAATGTGAAATTACCGAAGATGAAGATCAAGCGTCGCACATCATTTACCCAGACATTGATCCATTGCCAGATGATTATGCACGACCATCGTTCAAACGGGGAAAGAATGTAATGATGCATTGGTACTACTTGCCCGAATCGTATGATTCATGGGTGTCAAACACGTTCGAACTACCGGTATGTAGCAAAAAAATGTATAATTTTTCAGTATTTTTGACTTCATATCGATTAATTACCATTTGATTTTAGGATGACGTTCCTGAAACCATCAATCCACCCCCGAATACATGGCGTGTATCAGCCGCATGGGTTTTGAATTCACAAGAGTACAATGAATGGATGGCCGAAGAAGATTATGAGGTTGATGAAAGTGGCAAGAAATTGGTTCACCGTCACCGATTGTCCGTGGAGGATTTGATGCAAGATGAAAAACGTACCGGCAAAGCAGCTGGCAAGCAAAAGAGAAAGCGATCCCCATCGCCAGCACCGAAAGGTGTTGGAAAACGTAAGTCTGGTCGATCACCGGCAGTTGTATCGAAGAAAGCTCGTGGCACGGCCGACATCGAAGATGAGGAAGATTTAACTCGTGATATGGACGATCCACCAGCTGAGCCAAATGTCACTGAAGTCATTGCGAAACCATCGACAAACAGCCCGGCCACTCAGTCAAATAGCAAACAACGCGGTGCTGACAGCGATATGTTGCCATTGAAAAGCAGTGTTGTTACTGATTTGGACGAGGAGACGGAGAGAAGCGGTGGCTCCGGCACACAAAACAACGTTGCTGCTAGTGGTGAGGATTCACAAACGGGAAAAACCAGTGAGAATAGTAACACTCAAGAGTTCCCAGGCAATCGCGATGATCTCGAAGACAATGTTACCGAACAGACACATCACATCATTGTGCCATCGTATTCGGCTTGGTTCGACTACAATTCGATTCATGTCATTGAAAAGCGTGCAATGCCGGAATTTTTCAATGGTAAAAATAAATCAAAATCCCCGGAAATTTATATGGCCTATCGAAATTTCATGATTGACACATATCGTTTGAATCCAACGGAATATTTAACGAGCACGGCATGTCGTCGCAATTTGGCCGGTGATGTGTGCGCCATTATGCGAGTGCATGCATTTTTGGAGCAATGGGGTTTGGTTAACTATCAAATCGATGTTGATGCACGGCCAACACCAATGGGACCACCGCCAACATCACATTTCCATGTGCTCAGCGACACTCCATCTGGTCTGCAGCCATTGAATCCACCAAAAACCACTCAACCATCAGCTGCCAAAACGCTGTTTGATCTGGACAAAATTAAGAAAGAAAAAGAAGGACAAGTCGTCAATGCTGAAGGTACAATTCCTTCAGCCGTTCCGGCGCCAGCAACACCAGGCAATCCAAATAACCCAATTGTTCCACCTACGGGAGCCATTGCAGTACCTGGTGCTGTTGTTGGCGGCCCAGGACCGATCAAATTAGAGAATTCAATTGAACCCGGTGCTCATTTCGGTTTGCGAATGGATCAATATGCTAAAAAACCGATCGCAATGCGAAACAAAAACGCTGCCAGCATGGCACGTGAATGGACCGAACAAGAAACATTGTTGCTGCTTGAAGGCTTGGAAATCTATCGCGACGATTGGAACAAGATTTGCGAACATGTCGGCACACGTACACAAGACGAATGTATCTTACACTTTTTGCGTTTGCCCATTGAAGATCCATATCTTGAGGATGATTGCGGTTTCTTGGGCCCACTCGCCTATCAACCCATTCCATTCAGCAAATCGGGCAATCCAATCATGTCGACAGTCGCATTTCTGGCATCGATTGTTGATCCACGCATTGCAGCCGCCGCTGCTAAAGCTGCTATGGAAGAGTTTGCTTTGATTAAGGTAAGCAGTTTTGTTGGTTTTTCATTGAAAGAATTAAAAAAGTTCTTTGTTTTGTATTCAATTTGGGTAATGCTTTCCATTTGCTAATACAGGAGGAAGTTCCACCAAATGTCTACTATGCTCACTATAAAAATGTTGAGAAATCATTGGTCAACGGAAAATTCGATCCAACTGCCGGATTGGCAAGCAGTGGAATTGCTGGCACTGCTCCTGATAAAGAGGACGAAGAGAACAAAAACACGGACGAAGAAATGAAAGATGTTTCGAAGAAAGATGGCGGTAAGTGGATTGTTCATTTTGATTGCTTTTTGCTATATATTCAAATTGCGTGTAGCATTAGCCATTTTCTTCTATTTTATTCGCATGCTGTTGTTTCAGTATTCGACTTCTGTTATGTATGACTGTAATACTTATTTGTTTGTTTCTTTTCTTTTTTTTTATTTCATGTTTTTTTTTGTAATCGATTTTGATCTTCTACATTGATACGCTTATAATTTTTGGTGCATCCCGGAAAATTTCGATTTTTATCGAAAAAAAAACATTCGCAATGTAAACAAAATTTGATGTTGATGTTGCGTAGATAAAGAGAAAGAAGGTGGTGATAAAGATAAAGAAAGTAAAGACACTGATAAAGAAAAAGAGAAGGAGACGGAAAAAGAGTCGGATAAACCGGCTAGCGATGAGAATAAATCAAATGATTCCTCTTCTACTAACGTTCCAGCCAATGAAAAAATGGACACATCCGACAAATCGGCCGAAGCCGCCACCGAAAATGGTACAGCTGTGAATGGAAATGACAAGGATTCAGAGGAAAATCGGAAACTATTCAACGAAACCGATCTACAGAGAGCCGCATCGGCTGCACTTGCATCAGCTGCCGTCAAAGCAAAACACATGTCAGCACTTGAAGAGCGAAAGATCAAGAGTTTGGTCGCATTACTTGTGGAAACTCAAATGAAAAAACTTGTAAGTTGAACTCACGTTATTTTATGATTATCTTCAATTTAAAAAAAAAAACTAAATTTTCTGAAATGGTCGCTTGCAATGCGTAGGAAATTAAATTGCGCCACTTTGAAGAATTGGAAACTACAATGGAACGGGAACGAGAAGGTCTTGAATATCAACGTCAGCAGTTGATCACTGAACGCCAGCAATTCCATTTGGAACAATTGAAAGCAGCCGAGTTCCGTGCTAAGCAGAACGCTCAGCATCGATTGCAGTTAGAGCAACAAGGTCAATGGCAGCCACCACCACAGAATCCAAGTTTAGGCCAAGCACCGCAACAACAACCACCACCATCATCATCGCATCCATTGCATCCGAGTGTGAATGGGCCAGCAGCACCAGTTCCACAACAACCGGTTAATCCGAATCCGGTGAATGCAGGTGAGTACACCACTTTATTCCCTTTTTTATGGGAAAAATAACGTTCAACTAATGAAAATATTGAAATGTGTTATTTCTTTAGTTCCAGCGCCAAATGCAACGACACAATCGACTAGTGAAGTACCTCAACCAGTTCAACCGCAACAACAGCCACCGCAATCACAACAACCACAACAGCCGTCACAGCCAACACAGGCAAGCAGCGCAGTCCCAACCGCACCAACAACGATACCACCAGCAAATGTGGTGCTTCCGACAACAGAGCCACCAGCTAGCGTTCCGGCCACGGAAACACCACCAGCCGCTGTCGCCAATCCGACTCCAGCTGTTTGAATGTGACACACATAGACGTAGGTTGTCACGGCATCATAGTGCTTAATTAAAAACTCTCTTTGACAGGAATTCAAAAGATTAAACAATATTTAAGAGAGTGCACAATTTCCAATCGAATTTGCGATAGAACCAGTTGACAAAAATGCATGAGCCCAACTATGGATGAATGCAGAACAAGAAAAAAAAACACTAAACTAGTTCATCATTTAGACGGATACAGTTCATTATTTAAACATACCGATAGAGTTTTACTTATACAAGAAAAAAACAACAAACAAACAAATGAAAACCACTAATTTAATTATATGAGAAAAACAAGAATACAATCCACTTGTATTTGCATGTATTTGCTATAGATATATCATTCTCTTTTCGTACACATACAATTCACTATTCTTTTTTTTCGGTCAATTTAAAATTAAACAAATAATAAACAACAAAAATTTTAATCTCATTTCTAAGCATTCAGATGGAGAGGTATTTGTAATTAGTCGTATACAAAGATTTTAGTTATTTGCAATGAAATCATTTTTATTATTTTCTTTTCCTTTGTCTCTCCATAAAAAATCGGATGAAAAAAAAAACATTTTATTCCATTTGAATGACAGTTTGTTCGTTTCGAAATATTTTAGCCTCCCCACAACAAATTGATAAGTGTTTTGGTTTTTGTTTAAACCACGCGCAACCAATAGCGAATTATCACCTGATATTTGTTTATTATTTGTCCCAATAAAAATGATAGAAATAAGCCATTAGCATTTAGTGAAGGGAAAAGTGTTTTATTTGTGATAACTTTAAGACTCTTTGACTAAATGTGGGAATACAGTCACTGTTGGTGGTCATAATTCTTCCGAATTGAAAAAAACTTCGCATAGTATTTATTTTAGTTTCAGATCAGGCTCTACCGTTCTGCGGTATCTATCTCATCTATTGCAAAGAAAAACTTTCTTACCCATATCATAGCTTCCTTTTTGTCAATATTATACCATATTTCTGTTGTCCGACAAATCCATATTTGAAAACTTCACAATTTGAAGTAAAATGATAATGGAACGGACGCTCTTCGACAAAGCAATTAATGTCGATCATCGAAGAAAAGGAGGATGTGCAATGCATTATCATATGTGATGGTTTACGATTGTTAAGATTGAAAAAATAGCATCTTTTGAACTTATCAAGAGGTAAGCAATAAAAAAACCGAGAAGAATAGACATTTGAATACTGTTTTTGTGGACAAGCAAGCATCTCATACACCTGCACGAAGAGAATTAAAATAGATTTCAAAACTCTATTAGAATTTTCATTCAATATTGTTCATGTTTTCGTCATGAAGTGCGAAAACAACGTACGTTGTGATCGACATTCAATCGCCTTTTATTCGTTCTGTTTAAAATAAGCCAAGACCAATAGAAAATTATCGCTCAGAATTTGTTTATTATTTGTCATAAAAAAAAGAAGGCATTGGCATTTACTGAAGGAAAAAGTGTTTTGTTTACAACGACTTGAAGCTCTCGAGATAACCGAAATGACATAAGGTTGTAAATCGATGAAATGATGACTCATTGTAATTGCGTTATTCATCGACATCGGCGTTGTAATAATCATCAGCAGTCAAACAGAATGGACCGCTAACATCGTCAATCACACAGACTTGATCGATTTCAAGCTTGCACAGGATGGTATTTATTCTTTCCAGAACTGGAGCTGCCTCGGGATGGCGGTCTAACAAGGCATCACGTGTGTCATTGTAGATGGTTGTGTTTACTGGCATCTACATAAAGATAACGCATATTTTGTTCTTTTTATACCAAAATTGCGTCTAAAAATATTTAACTCATTTACCTGAGCAACAAATCCTGTAATGAGAACACGATGGCCAACTGTTTCCACTTGCGATGTTTCATTATTGATTTGTGTGGTTTCATTGGAGAACAGAGCGCTGACTTCATTCTTCTTTTTGATATTCGCAAAAATTGGGTCATTCTTTTGCAAATAGAAATTCACATTGCCCGTTGATGATGCATTCCATTTGCTATCAGCCACTTGTATCGAATCAATCATTGGATAGCCTTTGATTGGCTTTTGCACAGAGATAGTGCCCAGCAGCGTGTTGTCTATAAACATTAGGGTGTTATATAGGTACAAAATTACTTAAATATTCGAAATAATTTTTTTTTTCAAATCAATAAACCTGGGCTGGAATTCTAAGAATTCCACCAAAATCGTTCGGAATTATTTTTTTCGTACATAAGACCATATTGGAGTGAAAGAGAGAGATTCCACTATTTTTCAGCTCTCCACCGGAATTATTCCGATAACTCAAGGAAGAGTGGATTGTGTGAGAAATAATACCGGTGGTACGCTGAAAAATAGTGGAATCTCTCTCTTTCACTCCAATATGGTCCTATGTACGAAAAAAATAATTCCGAACGATTTTGGTGGAATGACTTAGAATTCCAGCCCTGGGAAAGATTGAATTTCCTGATCAATTTGTTGGGAAACTGATCAATGGCAAATTGAAAAAGACGGCTGAAAAAAGCGACTCACTTGCATTATGAACGATTTCACGAGCAATTTTTGCATATTTATTGGTGAAGTAGCTTCCAAATAATGGCCATTCGTTGGCTGGATCTTCGGTAATTGGTCCAATCACTTTGCCCGGTACAATTTTTCCTCCAGCAACAAATGCCACCAACAAAATTCCAAAGCACAGAACTTTCCACATGTTTCGTTTCTAAGCTTAATTATTTTTCAACTTTACCCAACCGACTCACTTGTTATTCTGATCGAACCGTTACATTTCGCTCAAATAATAGCACGAAAATGTCTTTTTTTGTAAGTAGAAATAATCTACAGATAACCTCTGTGACAGTATTCTTCTTGTCTTCGCTACCAAAATGACGCTCAACTAATGCCGAATTTTATTTTGTTGCGTTTTTTTCGGTGACTGTTTACTCTAAGACCTTAGAGACTAGCGAGTGTTTTTTTTTTGTTCAGAGATATGTTTTTATGATGAGGCGATGCTCCTATATTTAGGGAATGGGCATATAAATCACATTATCTTATCGCAAACACTGTCCAATTGACAGATTTCTAGCTACAATTGTAGGTAAAAGTGAATTAATGTTGATTTACCACTTGAAAATTTGCAATGCAACCGCGCAATTCCACAACAGTTCGCTGTGATTGATGACATTCTAATTGAAAATTGCGACATTTCGATTTATTATTGTCATTTTTACCCATTTGCATTTTTAATTAAAAATTATCAAAATTGTAACCATAAATAGACATTCATCAAATATTTAGAAAAATAAAATCAATATTCGCCGAACAAAAAAAGTCATAACGTTTTTTTTTTACTTGTTCAACTTTCATTTGTATTGGTATTGGTATGATGTGACGTTTGCAGCTTTCATTAGTTTGACAGACGATACACGGCAAACTTTATTTATCAACAATTTGTCAAGTATCTGTGTTTACTAAGTGAATCGTCTGAGTACCTCACCAAATTGTTTCGAGTTTTACGAGACAAATTCAGTGCGGATAAATTGCTATCGAGTAAGTTGAATGATTTCTGGAAATTTTCCGTGGGCTTGATATTGACATTGGCATTGGCATTGCCAAAGTGAAAAATTAGAGACACAAGCGCATCGCTGTTATTATCATTATTGAGTTCAATTGGTTCCATGTAAACATCTGATGCATAATATTCCGCAGCTTCAATTTACTAACTATGCATTACAAAGTTTCATAAGATAATTGTTCAGCTACGTAACACGTTTTCGTGTTCTTCTATGTGCTTCGCATTCTAAACACAAAAGTGTCAAAAACAACAGTTCATTTACTTCATAGTTCCATTCTAACGCTTGATGTCCACTGCAAATCTCCGCGAATTCAATGCCAAATGTATCTATTTTATTCTGGTTTTAGCAAGACTTTTTGTTTACTTCCCTTAAATCTGCCATATTTATGTTGTTTGTTTTGAAATCTCTAAGTGGCTTGAATTCATCCACGGCTTTCACTATTTTTGGCACGTATTCAGTGAAATTGCCACTTCATTGAAATGTACATTAATTCATTTGCTGGTACGTGCAAGCGATCAAGTATGTACTAAAGGAAACGTGGATTTAAATCGCGTAACACTCTAAATTGGTCATTTATTGAACGCATGGCTCTCACAATGTAATACAAAGATAGACCGAAGAATTATGTATGCGCTTTATTAACAGTAATGACTTCAAACAGAAGCAATACAATGTACGTTCATTTTGGCCCACAGATTCATCTGACTTCGCTGGAGAGTGTGTGTGTGTGGGTGCGGGACAAAGATCATTCAATTAATTCTGTTTTCTTTGTATTCCATTTTTTTGCAGTTGTTTATATTAGGGGGCAAAACTTTTGCAAATATCGAGTTAGTCGCAGAGTAGCATTTGAACGATAAACACCGTAAAATCAAGTGTACAAGTGATAATGGCATCGTATTGGCAAGGATTGAAGAAACCGCTCACCAGCAGTGGCTTGATGAATACCAAATTGTATTCGACCGCAATTGTAAACAGTTAAGTGAACTCCAAAATACGAACATGACGTTAAAATCTCAGGGGGCCGGCTTATCACTGTGTTTATATTCAATAGAAAAATGGCTTAAAAATCAGAATCTACATTTCATGTAGTGTCGCTTTGGTTTAGAGGTGATAGTATACTGTATCAAATTTGAAAAACTTGGTGTTGTTTTTTTGACTTTTTTTGATAAGAGTCAAGTCGATCCTCAGTGTGAAATCAATGTCATGTTTTCTAAAAAGTGGTTATCGTCAGATTGTGTAGTTGAAAAAAAAATTAAAATTCTGTTTTGTGTCTTCCGAAAATTTAGAAGAGGTCAAATCGGCAACATCCAGCTCACAAGCAATTCATTTGTCGGCTAAACAAAACTATCCACAAGCTGAACCGTTACCATTGCCGATTAACATTGATCCAAATGAATCGATGAGATTTTCACCGCAGCGTGCTCGTGACATAACATCGAACACGATTGCAACTAATATTTGGAATGCTCGATCCTTTGACATTACCATTGATTCGTCAAAGTATGACATCAAATCGGATGCTGATCCACATGTTGGTTCGTACGACTGCACTGGTGCCGTGAGCTTGAATTCATCCATGCAGAGCAACGTTCCAAGCCCATTCGGCGGTATGCATAACTACACGCATCTCAATATGCCGGGCGGTCAATGGGCACAGTGTAACAAATGGATGAGTCACGACCTTCATTCATCCCACTACACTAACTTGCGTCGTGAAGTTCGTAACAATATGTTGCAAGATGAAAAGAGTGTCACTTTGGCAAAAGGTATGGTTGTACTTAAGAATAGTAATTTGCATGGAAAATCATCATCATCCTCATCAGCTATGTGGATGAGAATGTCTCAATCGAATGTAATGCGATCTTCGTTTGCCTGCCTATCTTCAATCAATCATTATTCATCGTTGTCTCATTTGAATGTTGCATCAAATCAAACCACCCATCGAATGTTTTCGGATAAGAAGGATGTTGTGAAAACCGATGAGCTGAATAAGGAGAATGAAACAAAAACCCCAGAAGAGCCAGTTGCTCTAACGGCTAGAGCAAAACTGAAAAATGCCATCAAAGATTACGGCTCAACGGTTCTTGTGTTCCATATCGCGATCTCACTGGTTTCGCTGGGCATCTTCTATCAATTGGTCAACAGGTATGTTGTCATGAGAATACAATGTAAGCAGGAGATGACCAATCATCATGCAGTGACCGAATGCATCATTCAATTAACTGATAGAACATCATGCAAAAATTACTTTATCCGGCAATTTAATGAATAAGAGACGATGCACGTGGCCAATGCCAAGGCTATATTTAGCCTGTACAAGCTTGCACTTTTGTTTGAATAATGCATGATGACCACTAAATTATGATTCAGATCTAGTAACAAAAGTTTTATGAAAATTTTAATTTTCTTTAATATGACTAAATTGCTTTTTTTCTCTTTCTACAGTGGATTAGATATGGTGGCAATATTGGAGTATTTGGGCCTCGGTTCGACCAGTTCAACAATAACAAATAATGTGGCTTCTGGAGCCAGTACATTCGTAGTGGCCTACGCAATCCATAAGGTGTTTGCACCGTTTCGTATCAGTATCACATTGGTTTCGGCTCCATTCATCGTTCGCTATCTTAGGAACAAAGGCATTCTATCTATGAAGCCAAAAATCAAAAAGCAATGAAAAAAAAATCCACAAATTTTTTTGTTATAATTTTTTATTCAGAGTATATATTAATAAATTTTTTGAGAAAACCATTCAATTTTAAAAGCCAACTGAACTGTTGTTCTGCATATCAAAGAGGAAAAAATAAAGAAAGGAACTGTTGAACTGCATTTTATTGACCTTATCATTTATTGTGATCATTAACCATTTGATTTTGATTTAGGTATTGAATATATAAATATATGGCTTTCATTGGAAAATGGGTCGCCATCAATACTGTCTACCTTGCAACACTGGTTACATAGGTTTTTGGAGAGTAATTTCTATTTTTTTTTCTTACTAATTACTTATCCATGTTTGGCGCCACAGAGTGCAACACAGAGTGAGTATATGTATGCTACCTCCGAGGATAGTAATTATCCTTTTGTTTGTTTGTTTGTTTGTATGTGTGAATTGAAATATTTTGAAAATGACTGAAATTAACTAAAATGACTTCAGAAAAATGAAATGAACGACAGTATGCAAATACATTGCCTTCGATTGACACATGCTGTTCTTCTTAAAACAATAACAAAATCAAAAATAATTTAAATAATAATATTTACAAAATAAAACTTGCTTCAAATGAATTTGTGGAATTTCTCTTGGTGATTAAAAATTAAAATGTTCAAAATGAATACTATTCAAATGTTCATTTCATTGGCTGTTGTGAGTGCCGTAAATTGTTACCCAGCTAAGGATAATTCCTGTGATTGTGGTAATTATTAATTGATTATTGAATTTGTTCTGTGAGCAATGTTCTCTAGATTTATTCTGACATGAAAACAATTTATCAGCTGCGTAGAACGGATTTGAAAGATATTACATCAGGTAGATGCCAATTGCATCGATTCAAATGTGTTCCTTTCTGTAGATTTGAACTTCGAGCATGTAGAAACTGATGTAACAATGCATAGGATCAGTGACCATTTCTGTTTCTTAATTTTACCATTTTGCGGTCAGGATAAACAACGGATCGGCGAAAATAAACAACAGCCCGATCGAAATCCGTGGACAGTCGGAAAGTTTTGAGGAACATACAAAGTTTGCATAATTTTCATTTGTTCGGGTTCTTTGATATCAGATAAACATGTGCTGGTTTCAGGGTCTTGCGCCCCTGAAGTAGTTTACATTCACGAAGAAATGCATCAGCACACAGAAGCCCGCATGGGTGGATATAATGTCGATGCCATCAGATACAACATTATACGTGTTCATAAACATGAACATTATTATCAGTTTTCTGATATAAGCAGTTGGATGACCAATGAATTCGATATTGCAATTAGACTCAGCCGTTTCGTTTGGACACAATGTTCAACCGATCTGTTTGCCACAATCTTCGCTTATTGAACACAGTGGAAAGTTAGCTACAGCCATAGGTTTGTATAACACTGGTAAAACCCTGAAACGGTCCAGATCGAAGGCACAACAAACTCATATTCAAATTTGGACCAAAAAACACAGTGATAAATTACCTGAGTATGCAAAAAAATTAACAGATAACATGATGTGCGCTGGAGATTACGAAAATACAACTCTTACATCATATATTCGCGATGTAAGTCGAGTTTGTAGAAGTAAAAAAATATTCACCAACATTTCTTCAAATTTTCATCATATTTCTCGTTTCATAGTTCGATTTTGGACAATTAGTCATCGAAAATGAATATGGCAGCATGGAATTAACCGGAATATACTCATTGTAAGTTACATATTTTCAATCAAATCGGAAATATTTCCAGGAAATTAATAGCAGAAAAACTCTTTATCACTGTCAGTGGTCGTAGATCCAGTTTCTCACATGGAACGCCCATTTGTTTATACTCGCGTTGCCAATTTCTTGTTATGGATTCAAAGTAAAATAACCAATCAATGCACGTATGCACCTAAACAAGCAAGCCATGGCGAGAACTTAGAACAAACTTGTGTCTTTATCCGAGAATAATAGTAAAAATTTATGCGGATAAGAAGTGATGTACCTAAATGCCCAAATTGGAAATCCATTTCCTTCATATCAAAGGGGAGAGAATAAATAAAAGAACTGTTGAACTGTATTTTATTGACCTTATCATTTATACTGTTTATTAACCATTTAAAAAAAAATGAATCAAAACAATCGGTACGAATTTTGGATAAATTTTGATTTTGGTAATTGAATATATGGCCTAATTCATTGGGAAGTGAGTTCAAATTTCTACAGATTATTTGTGTTTGTCGAGTTTTTCTTTCAAAATGTTTGGGAAAAAATCCAATCATGTCCAGAAATGTGCCAAAGTCCAAGCACTAAAAATGTGTTGCTTTTTCCTTCCTCCTTTTCTCTTTCTAATTAAAACTTAATCGCGTAAAATGCTTACTTCTACGTTGCTGTGTACTAAAGAGGGAAAAAAACCGTTGGTGACCATTTAATTTCATTTCCAGTTTACAATCGAAATGATTCATAACAAAGAAACAGAGCGCAAAATAATCAGAAAGGGAAACCAGGGGAGATTTTATGCTTGTGTCGACGTTTGAAGTAGATTGGCTGCAGTGGCGGCATCGGGGAATAGAGCATGATAATTGATCAGTGGTACGTATGCGGCGGTGATAACGCGGCCAGCAAACCATCGACCATGCAGTGCATTCACAGCCAGTACAGCTGTCGCTATACTAGGACACTTGACATAAACATTTCCTGGTGACGCTTTGTCGACGTAGACATGCAAGATGCCGCCATGTTTCTGGCATTCTTCAACCACCTCGTCACGTATTTCAATGTCCCATTGTGGATTGGTTTCGGTCAACGGGTCGAACATGTTTGACAGCAAGAAGCACTGCGTAGCAATGGGTGGAGCAACTTGTTGTTGAACTTGTGGCTGTGGAGCGGTTGCAAGCAATGCATTTGCAGCTGCTTGTGGTACAGCTAAACCAGCACCTTCGGCCAATTTAAACATCAGCTGAAGTCGACCAGTAGCACCTAAATCAATGCCAGAACGATCCATTTCATCGGTATCAAGCGAAGCTGTTGTATTCACTTCCATACGCTCGGTCACATTTCCAACTTTCATCGGTCGTCCAGCCAATTCAAATCCATTCAACTGCTCCAGAGCCTTTTTCGCATCATCTGCATTGTGGAACTGAAATTGAGACGAAAATTTATCAAATATTTCAATGCCAAAGATTTTTAATTTTCATTCACATCTCTTACCGTAATGAAACCATATCCCTTTGATCGGCCCGTTTCTGAATCCATGATCAATTGAATGCTATCAATTTTACCGAATGGCTCAAAGATGCCACGCAACATGTCCTCGGTTATGTTGAAATGTAGCGATCCAACGTACAAACGCATCGGACCGATGTTATTCTTGACTTGCTGCTGTTGCTGTTGGGCCACTGCCTGTGGTTGAGTGCGATTCTTTTCCGCTTGTGTGTGTTGCACCGAAATTGGAATACCGAGCAATTTTTGACCACTCAAACCAAGAGCCTGTATCAAGAACAAACATTTTCAATTAAATCCATTGTTCGTTGAGTCGTTGGTAGTATAAAACTATTCAGAATATAAACTCAGTCTACTCACCAGTGATACGGATTCAGAATTCTTGAATTCAATGTACGCAATTCCCTTGAACCGTTTGGTTTTGTTGCATGTGATTAGGCGGACGTCACGCACTTTGCCAACGCTGGAAAAGAACTCTTCCAAATCACGAGCACGTACTCGTTGTGATAGTTGCATGCAGAAAATTGTGCGTGCATCTCGTTCTTCAAGATCGATTTCGTCGTCGGAACGAGAATACCTGGAAAAAATTTTACTGCTTAGAATAGCTTAATGTAAGCTGCTCAAAAATCAAATGGAAATGACATATTCGACACTTACGCTCGACTTGCTGAATTTGGTGGCGTTCTTCCACGTCGGAATCGTCTGTCTGGTGACTTTGAACGACGTCGTCTGTGCTCTTTGCTCCGCGATCGTTCTCTGAAATCGCATTCAAACACATTAATTTCTGGTTTTACAACAACATTTTAAAATATCGAATTACCTTTTTCTGTCTCTGTCCGGGCGATGCCGATCACCACGTTCGCGCTCCTTTGGTGACCTAGAAATTAAAGTTGGTGCACATTAGTTAGCTTCAATCAAGAAATTTGTCCAAATTAATACATTATTTCGTATTTCTTACTTGGAACGAACTCGTTTTTCCCGCGATTTGCTTCGTTTTCTATCCCCTGACTTGCTTCTCTTTTTATCTTTATCTTTATCTTTGCTACGGGATCGACTACGCCGACGCGATTCCTTGTCCTTATCTTTATCTCTTTCGCGTTCTCGATCTTTGGATCTGTGGAATGAAAAAAGGGGGAAAAACATTTGGTGTCAATTAAAAAGTAATTGGTGTGGTGAATGTGTTGATAATTACTTTGAGCGCTTCTTCTCCTTCGATCGACTTCTTTCTCTTCTCGAAGACTTCTTTTCTTTGTCTTTTTCTTTTTCTTTGTCACGGTCTGAACGTTTTCGTTCGCGTTCCTTCTCCTTATCCTTTGAGCGGGACCGACTTCTGCAATCACAGATTATAATCAATTGAATCAATTCCATTTGCAAAAGAATTGAATAAAAACAATCAGAAATAAATTATTCAACTCACCTGGACCGATGCTTTCCATTTTCGCGCTTTTTTCCGTTGCTCGAAACGTGAATCGGCGACGATTTATCAGTATTATTGGCATCCTCCTATATTGATCAATCAATGTATGTTTATTTTGAGTTTGGATTGAAACAGATAAAGTGTCGCAAACAATTGTTTCGATTGTTTTTTTTATTTGTTTTATTTTTTTGTGTGGCGCAGATTGGGCAGAAGTGATGAAGATTTGTTTGGTATTTTTCGGTATGGATTTGATTTTGGCATCATCGTGTGTGATAGAAGATAATCATTTTGAACATTTTGATATCGTGCGTGTATGTTTTGCACACAAACCGTGTTTTTGTTTTTATTTTTTTATTGATATTTTGCGAGCGGCCAAACAACAATCAGCAGGAACGAAAAAAAAGTAAGAAAAAAAAGAAAAATGGTGTTCAATTAATTAGTGAGGTTCGTAATGGCATTGAGTAGATATATGTAAAATATGGTTGAAAATGTAAAAGACTGAGACAATTTGTTCTTTTTTTCTTTGGTTTTCTCAACCAGAAAATAAAACATACAGTTATTTTTTCAAATTTTTCAGAAAAAAATCGAGTTGTTGGATTTTTTTCTGCTGATGTATGTGCTACATGTAGAAATAATTATATGAATTACATAAAAGTCCAAATTGACAACAAATTTTCGTGAAAATTCGTTTTGAGCTGGAAAAAAATCAAGCACACGGTTTCTTTCTTTGTCTACTTTGCTTTTATGGCACCCATTTGTCTACACTCCAATCTACCTATGTTGTTGGATTATTATCAGATGAATTTCACAATGCGCTCTCTGTCAAACAACAAAGAGCATTTAAATATATATATGATTTTTTGGATTATGAAAAACTGACTAAATTATATTCAACGAAAAGTAAATGATACAGATGGAAAACAAAATGTAACATGGAAGAAAAAAAAACTGAAATTGTGTGATAAAAGCATACAAAAGCTTACAGATAGAAATAGGGAAAGCACATATAGTTTTATTATATTGTATGTATAAATAGTTGTTTCTGATGATGAGGTATGTAATAAAATCTAGGTTTTTTTTTCATTCTTCTTAAATTTGCTCTTTGGAAAATTGCACTAAATTTACATCCTAGCTAAAAGAGAATTGGTTATAAATGAAAGAGAGAGAAAAACGTATCGAGACACATCCATTTTTCTGGTGATTTCTGTACACGCGCCACTTCATCACTTCAACCTGCGAACTGTTGACCAACTTACCGTTAAACCATATGATTATGTGACGCATAGTATTTTTATTTTTCTTTGTGTGTGCATTTTTGAATAAGCGATTAACGATTTTGAATTTTGTGTGTTTGTGTGGATTTATTATTCATTTATTCAAATTGTTATTGAATTCGACTCGACCGAGTATGAGTAAGACTGTGGTTCAACTATCGAACATGGTTCTGCAAAAGATAGACCCGATTTTAATAATAAAAAAACAAAAAACAACTCGTGCGACGATATTCATGATTTTTTTTTCCTATTTTTGCCAACAACAAAATGGTTTTCAGACAATTGACATCGTTCTGCGTGCGACGCGACCCGCGGTCATGACACATTTCAAGACGAACCCATTACCAAACACCGCGACAATGAGAGAAACACCGCGATGATGACAGACATTCGTGGGCTTCTTCACAACACTGAAGTAAAATGCGACAAATAACATTGAAACGGATAACATTGTATTAAGGCGTTTGGTTGCAATTAGTTGCACAGAGATGTGGCAAACATAGAACGAAGAAACGTGTGCACTTTAAATCCAAATACGAATGCATGGCGTACGAGTACTTACTGGTGCTGAACTTGATTTATTTGCATTGATATTGTATGAATATTCGGAATTTTCCCGTTCAGACGATGTATTTCGCGACCATGGACAGTAATTTGGGCTATAATAGGTACGTTCAGTTGATCTTCTGAAATAAACTGGGCTAAACATTCGTTGAGAGCCTTCACTATCATCATCCGAATATTCCGAGTCGATGGACTTGGTCGAACTTCGGTTTCTCGCATGATGATCATCTTTGAATTCTGTGTCACTATCCCTTGAATTACCAGCATTTGTAGCCATACGATGTCTGCTTCGAGACTCGTTATGTTCTGAAAATTGCTTTTCTAATAATATATATACTTCATGCAAATGTTTTCACACATAGAAACAGAGAGAGAGAGAGAGAGAGACAAAAGGAGCGAGAATAGATGAGTTGAGTGAAATGTGGAAACGAGATTTTCTTTTGCAATCTCTTGCCAGCTGTCATTTGGCAAGTCCGTCTTGAAAATTGCATTGCATTGTCATTGGTTTAAAAATTTGACATGAATTGGAATCGGTTCAAAAGTCGAAAAACGATTTTGTTGTTGCGATTTGCCCTAGCACAAAATTTAGTTGAGTTTTTCTTTTTGTATCTTTGTTGGTACCATTCGCTTTCATTTTCTCATTTCGTGACTTGGATTGGATGTTGCATGAATTGCAACAATTGATCATGAAATTGGTCATTTGGCTGATTTTGTGTTCCACACCTAGAAAAAAGAGAAATTCAATTTCGAGCGAAACAATCGAGAGGCTGGCTGTGTCTTTTTTTTATCGAACACGTTCGCGTGGATTTAGTGTGTGCATCATTGGTTCATTTGTGAGTGTGTGTGTCGTTTAGAGAGAATTATACAGGTACACATAACACCATGGGGATGTTGAGACATCGACACCTAGTTGGTAGATGAGCAGAACGTTATACATACTCGTATGATTTGATTTGTTTTTTAATTTGTTTTTTTTTTTAGTTTTCATCAAAATCTATAAGATTTGTTGAAAAGATTTCATTAATTTTTTTGAATAATGAAATTTGTAAAAATCACCACAGCTGAATTTCATTTAGACAAAAGATAGTATTCAAGTACCAGACAAAAAAATGGATTTTGTTTTGGTATTCGGTATCACACTTTCCACAACAGTCTCTGTCGGAAGGAGGTATTACTTTAACATCGGTTCAAGAATTTGGTTGAAGATGGTACCCTGAGGCGAGAAATGTCATTTTGGTTGTTTTAAAATTGGTTCTTTTGGTTTCATTGCAATTCATTCAAAAAAAAAAATATAATTTGAAAAACTAAATTTACTTTTATCTAAATGTTCGAAAATCACAAAATTATATTAAAAAAAGATTTCAAATATTGGTAAAAAAACAAAAGAGAGAGAAAGAAAAAAGTACGACGAGCATGGAATGAAGGATAGGAATATAGAAATCGGCGTTGAATGAAAATATTGGAGTTGAGAGCGATAATTTTCAGTCGCATTAACATTGACTTGGAAATTGATTTTATCATTGAGCAGCCCAGGATTATGATTGAGCTCTATTCTTCAAGAGAAAATTAGCACAAAAATGTACCAAACTTCGGAAAAAAAACTTTTCCAAAAGGAAACGAGAATAAAATAGGACTGGTCTGACGACACACCAATGGCGTGTGTAAGCTCATCGGGAATAAAAGGGAATTTTGATATAATAATAATAAAATAGACAATGGACAATTTTCGCTTTGTGTTTTTTTTTGCAATGAGGCGACAGCATATTTTCAATCAGTTTTCGTTGGATTGCTATTTTCTTGTTTCAATCTCGTTTTTATGGTGTTTTTTTTTTCAATGAACAGAGACCTGTTTTTGATTTTGTGTTTAAATAAAACTGTTTTTTTTTTGTTATGTTTCAAGTACCTCGGCTGTTTTCGATCGATGCAGTTGCTGGTTTATCAACAATTCTCTATAAAAATGTAAAACGAGGATATTTGAGTGCAATTGTTACTTAAATAAGATTTGGTTTTTGTTTTCTGATTTTTTATCATATTAGCTTATCAATCTAAGTAATTATTTGTCTGTATAATTTTAATACACTTATTCGCATACATTTAAAATTTAAGGAGAAAAAAAAGAAGAAAAATGGGGAGGGGTCGGTGACAACAAACTCTACGATTTTCAATTCTAGAAAAAAAAAATTGCGGCGAAAAAATATACAAAAAAAGTTGTTCACATGTCCATATCTCACAAACGGTACAAGGTTTGTAAACGGATAAATAAAGAGAGTTGAACATATATAATTAGAAAGTACATTATCGTCCATGACAGTTAAAAGGAAACGAAAAAAATCAAAACGAAGAAAAGAAAAAAGGAAAAAAACAAACTTTGTGTGGCCAAGTTTTGTATAGGTTTTCGTCTATTATGTGTTTGTGTGACTGCATATTTACCGTGTACTAGACATGATTTCGATGATCAACTTACATTCTACACACAATTATTTCTTATGTCTTGACATTTTTTTTTCTCTGACAGTATTCACGCTATATATGGAAATCGTGTATCTGAAAATGTTTCTGGTGGGATATGTGTGTTTTTGCGTCTCTTTTTTTTCGTGGGTACTTACATTGTATGGTGCCTCAAGCAATGCTTCGATGTCAAAATCCTCAGCCATTATTTGTTTCTGTATATTTTTTTTATTTAGCAGCAATTAAATTTCTCGTCCGTGTTTTGTCGATGTTCAGCGTTGCCACTGTCTGGGTATCTCCCTTCTCGGCTTGTCTATAAAAAGTTGCAAAGAAGGCACGATTTACACACGATACAACAACGCACTCGCAAAAAAAATCGAATATTTTTTCTTTGCTTTTTTCTCTGGTCAAAAGTCAATAAAATCGCTGCTTTCTACCTTTTTGATTGGCAACTTTTAATCGAATACACAATGAAATAGGTACAAACTTTGTATCGAAACTGAGAGTAAACGTTAAACGTTGATTTTTTTTCGCTTATTTTTATTTTTTGAGCCACACTATTCTCCAAAGCACAAGCGAATGGAACACGTACCTTATTTCGTCTGAACACTCTTGCAACATTTCCTTTTATTGCGAATGCTCTTCCATTTGGAACGCATGTCAAGCATTTGTAACGCAGCGTGCTCATACGCGTTCGAATGCCGCGTTTTATTTCGCATTCGATAGGGTTGCTCAAAACCGGTGAATGAATTTCATTTTCATGCTTTTTCATATGGTTGATCTAGTTTATTGTCATCGAAGCATCAACTCCATATTAAAATCAATTCAAAAGAGTGTAAATAAGCATAAGAAAAAAGAAAATTAATAATGTTTCACTGTTAAACGTTCAACAACGCAGGCTTTCATCGGCTATTTGAATGTGATCCAAACGAACGACGCGCTCAACGTATACACGAACAGCTGCGACACTTCAATACACAAACAATGGCAATTGTCGTAACGTCAAACTAAATGGTTGTGGAATCATTACGAGTAAAGAAAGAGAAAAAAAGAACCAGCACGCAAATACCTTCGATTGTGGTAGAGAACGTAAGAGATTGTTTTGATATTTTATTTCTGACCAATTTCGTACTTGTCAAATTTTTTATTCAACTCAACTTGATATTCGTACGACGAATTTCAGTCGAAACAGCTTTGCGACGGAAACACGGCCAAATTGCACACATCCAATCAATTTATAAATTACGAATGGAAATATCAGATTAAAACTGGATAACAGAATAAAAAACGACAGAAAAAAATCCAGCCGTGAACAGTTTATTATGTAAAAGTGAATTGAGAATTTAATTGTGCTGTGAATTGTGTTTTTGTTCGCTTTCCTCTTGTTTGGCATTGAGATCAATTTAGTGCGTAAAAATGGACAAAGTCACAGAAGACGAAGAAATCGTAAAATTGTTGGATGTCAAGGACATCGAATTCATTGAAACGAGTGAACTACTGGAGAATGAGGAGAATGACAAAAATTCCGAAAATACCAAACTCATCAATGAATCGAACGGGATAAATAATTCAGATGATTGCGGTTCAGATCAAAAGTCCAATGGACATGTTGTCGTTTGTACAGAACGACGGTCAGACGAACCAACCGAATTAAGCTTTGAAAAAGGTAAGCCACAGAAAAAAAACCAACAAAAACAACTGAATGATATAAATTCCGATGCATTTGTTTACAAATATAGTAGAAATGAATCATCGTTTAAATTATTATTCAGTCAACTTTCCGTCCCATGAAGTCGACCACAGTTAACAGTTTTATCGTCGCATGTATGGTGTACACCATGGTCGAATTACATTTCACGCAACAACTATTCTTCGATATGTTTACGGTTGCTTTTTCTTCGGAATTTCATACCATTCACACACATATTGCATGAAAATAATCAATTCTTTCCTCTTGAATCACTATGAATGCAATTGTTCCAGATATTTTCTACGGTCAACTGAACATTGCTCATCATTTTTATAGACATAACAATTGGCTAATACTAATAATTTTTTCTGTTGATTTTTAGTACCAGAAAATGTTGAAGAAAAGTTAAAGAGGCAAAAAATAGAGGCAGCACTCGCTGATCCAAATACAGTGCTCAGTAAATGGCAGGAATTTGCTAAAAGTGAATATGGGCTAGTTAGCGGTAAGTACACACACATTCAATTATTCGCAAGTGGTAAAATAATTGATAAAATATGGATATTTTACCTTTCGTCCCCTATCAATAGATGATCTGAGGCGTCAGGTATGGCCACGGCTTGTTGGTATCGACCCAAACAGCGTAGATCCCGCACCGAATCTCGAAGATTTAAAATCACATCGTGAATACAATCAAGTGATTCTCGATGTAAACCGATCACTAAAACGTTTTCCACCGGGTATCCCATACGAGCAACGTATTGCACTTCAAGATCAACTCACTGTATTGATTCTTCGCGTCATCATCAAATATCCACATTTACGATACTATCAGGTATGATGGTGTACAATTGATTGTATGCATCTATTAAGATATTCGCAGAGCAAATAAGTCATGGTGCTAATAAGATATTCGACATACGATTTACTTCCAAGACATGTGATTTCAATTTTTTTAGGGCTACCATGATGTAGCAATCACATTTTTGTTAGTGGTCGGTGAAGAGGTGGCGTTCCATGTGATGGAAATATTATCAACAAACCATTTAGTCGAATGTATGCAGGAAACCATGGAGCCAACACAACATCGTCTCATGTATTTGTATCCCATCATTCGTCGTGAAAGTGCCAAATTATGTGATTATTTACTGAAGTACGCATCTAAATAGTACCAAAATCCTGTCTAAACTGCACATAGTCTTATGCTAACGATAATCTTTACCATTCACAGATCGTCTGTTGGAACACTGTTTGCACTGCCTTGGTTTTTAACGTGGTTCGGTCACAGTTTGAATTCATACCGAAGTGTCGTTCGGCTGTACGACTATTTCCTAGCGTCGCCATTCCTAATGCCGTTATATGTTACGGTTGCCATTGTTCTGTATCGAGAGGATGACATTTTCAAAGAGGATTGTGATATGGCTAGCTTGCATTGTCTTCTCTCACAGGTAAAGACATCAACGGTTTTTGTTTTTCGTGTGAAGTGTTTATTCTAGAGAATAGCTCTCAAAAAGTTGATTCGATACCATCGAAAGATTTTTCTTGAGATAAACTTTTAATGAAACCTATTCATGTTTTTAGCTACCGGAAGATTTGCCGTTTGAGTATTTGTTACAAAATGCAGCCAATTTATACAACAAACATCCACCAGAAGAAATCGAAATCGAAGTTCAAGTGATGGTTGAACAAGAGTGAGTTTTTTTTTGTATCTTTGAATTCTGAATCAATAAATTTTGAACTTGAATTCTCCGACTCAACCAATTTGGATTTTGGATCAATTCAAATTTCCAATTGATTTTTTCATACTAATAATCAAAATCAAATCTGTCGCCCAATTCAACAGAAAGCAACAACGAGAAAAGGAAATAAAGGCAGCAAAAGCGGCAGCGGAAGCTCGACGTCTGCGTATTCAACGCAAAGAAGCTGCAAAACACTCATTGATCAATCGTCTCATACCGCAAATGATGTGGAGTAGACGAACCGCATTGGCAACGACAGCATTCTCAATTGTAATTGGCATTTGTGCGTACTATTACAAGGCGCAGTTCATATCAATGACCAGTGGCATCAGCTGAAATTCGGTGAACTATATGGCTTTACTGTTCCATCGCTACAGTCATATAGGTGGCCGTTCTCCATGCGCTGTGTGGTAGGAGAGACACGACGCATATACATACACACGGAACATAGTGCAACCAACCATGCAATTGTCTTATATCTTGAAACTATTTATATAATTTGTACCAAAACCAAAATCGACACGATTACACTTCTCTTCTAACGTTAACGTATTTATGTAATCTGATTTGTTCTTCTTTTTTCTTCTTTGGAAGTCTAGCAATAGCGTAAAGGGATAGTTTAAGTGTATTTTATAATGATTACCCTATAATGGAATTCCTGTGAGCTTTAAATTTGAAACCAAAATGAAGAGGGATTTCGTTGTTTCTTTCTTTCCAACATCCATATTGATGATGATGATTTGTACAAGTTAACCTACCTATGAGTTTATCAATACGATTCTTTTTTTATTGTATGATTTTGATGAAATTGTAAATATTTTCAATTTATTTATTTACACATTTATTATTAGTATTAAGCAGACAAAGAGACATTCAACTAGTTGGAATAGGGTTTAAAAACCACTCTTTGCAACGCAATAAATCATTGTGTTTAGTGAAGGAAAAAAAACACTAGAATGGGATAGAGAATGTGACCGTTTAAATGGCTCATAAGAAACAGAGATTTGGAATATAGCGTTGGGCCACTTTATTATATACTACATGCGGCACCTTATTACTGTTTTGTACGAATCAAGAGCAATTTATCTCGTTAAACACAATATTGGCGCAACAAATTGCTACCTTCATATATTAAATCAGTAGCTAGTGTATAACGAATCATTTGTATGACCGCTTATATTAGCCACGCAAACTTTTTTGGGGGAGAGGGGATACAGAATTTCAATTAGAATACACACATAATCAAAAACCATGTATTTTGGTAGACAAAACATGAGCGATAAATAATTTTATTTCATTTCAAATTTCAACAAGAAAATATATTTTGTTTTTTTTTCTTCATTTCTTTTCAAAATACTGCAAAAAAAATATGTCTTGACCAAACTAGCATGGGTAACAAAATAGGCTTTTATTCCTTACACACAAAAATAGACACAATCACAACATATTTTAATATGATCGGAATTCATGATTTCTGAAAAGATGGATTTTTTTTTGGTCATGTGCGTTATAGTATATTAGATTTGATAGATGGTTGCACCGCGCGCGCGCGCCACGGAGATCATTGGGAAATTACTTTTTTTCATTGTCTTTGTCTTTGTTTTTACTGAAATGAAGAAAGAAAAGAGGTTGTAGAATGTGTGATTATATTGTGAAAACAACATCAATTAAGGGGGAACATCGAAATATGAACAACAATAGAGGAAAAATAACACGAAATTAATGGTGCGATGAATGTATCTTCTGTGTTAGTTAGATTTGCATGTCTGCATAAAATACTGCACTAATACACAATAATTGTTTTTTTTTTGCTATGTTTCAGCTGCATCTCGGTTCTTTTTATTAAGAAAAATTTCATTGACAAACCTTTCTTTAAAGTGTAATGAACAAAAAGTTATACATGAATAAATTATAAACCTTGGAACAAATCAATCTTGTATTCGCTTTGCTGTTTTAAACTAGCGCAACATTTTCTATATACGTCTTTCATGAGCTAATGCAAAATTATTCTTTAGAATTTCGAGAGAAGACTCGTTTGTTTGATTTCAAATATCATTGCTTCGACATGACATCAATAATTCTATGTTAAAATTTATATTCGCTTTGGTAATCAAAACAGAAAAAAGCGAACAATTCACAAATCAAGTTTGTTTTTTTGTTGGAAATGAAACGGAAACGTATTAACAAATAATCGAGCGAGAGTAATAATGATTTTTATCACATGAAAATTCAAAAACGAAAAAAAAATTGATGATGGTGAATGAATGGAATAAATCCTACTTTCTAGAAGCAAGCGCCAGACCAAGTCCAACCAAACCGCCCAATACCAATGCAGCACCACCAGCAACAGCTACGCCAGCCATCGTCTCTTTTTCCATCTTTTTCCGTATGTGCTCCTGTTTGCGAATGAAATATTTTGAATTATAGCGGAAAACTATACATGTTTAAACTTTGTATGTCGACAAAAATGGCATGAAGTGAATAGCATAGAAAAATTCCATACCTCCAATGTGATGGCTTGTTGGTTGTTGGGCTCGATCTGTAGAAATGCCTTGCAAAATTTCAATGCTACCGAATAATTCTTGATTCGGGCATTTCCAATGGCTAAATAATAAATGTAGTCACGATTGCCCTGCGAATGCTTTTCTGCAAGGTCCTCAAGCATGAAAATCCCCTACAAAATTTGAAACACACATGAAAATTACGAAAATAAATAAATCATATTCAAACGACATGCCGATGCTCAAAATAACCAAACCTTTTTGATATCGGCTGGATATTCGCTGCGCACCAAGCAATATGCATATTCGAATTGTGTTTGAACTGCAACTTGTCCACCCTTTTCCTCGAGCTCCCTTTTGTAATTCTTTTCGAATTTCTGAAAATAAACAACAAAACTAATGTCAATCGTATGTTCAATGTTATACTAATGATAATTGGAGAGATATCAATTGCACTGATAACAGTGCATGTCCAGTCAAATCACTTCGAGTGTTGAATTTCGAAAATGTCAATGAATTGCATCACTATCACAAATTTCGCGAAGTAACTAGAACAATCCACGCGACGCACATGTTGACTCAGATTTTATCAAATTGGTGTATAAGTTATAATTTATTACATAACAGCTGATTATCACAACAATAAAAAAAAACCAACGAAACCCATATCTGTCTAGCCGATGTAATTCAATTTGGAAAAGTTGCGTCGATGTAAGAATCCATTTGTTAGACGCGCGTCATTGAACTTGAAACAACAAAATATTGTTATGATGAACGTATTTCGCAATGTGTTTACAGCTCAGATGTGGTGATGATTCATATCCGTCGCATGTCGTTGTTAACACACAATTTATCATCCAATCCATGTGCACTTACACATTCTCCTTTGGCAAAAGTACTCTCTCATTGTCGATACGTGTTCATATATGTCAAAAAATGTATAATTTCATGAATCTTTCTAGGACATGATTATAATGGAAATCGCTTTTATTCGCTTTGTTCAATGGCTTTTAATGAGCATGTTCTTTGTTGTAATCGCACTGATTAAATCGCCATTGGGTCATGTATGCAATTGATGATGCAAAATACACGACATGATTGGCCACAAAATTACCAGAAGACAAATGAGTTCAATGCTATATTGAAATCAATCTCCCATTTTCACGATGAAAACACTTTGATTGAAATGTTCAATTATTACAAAGAATAGTACGAATTTATTTTTTACCTGTAATTCTGCTTGCGAAACTGTTTCGTTCAATAGCTCCTCCATTTTTATTCGATTATTTTTATTGGAAACTGTATTTCACTCCGTATAAAACCAAGTTCGATTGAATTGCAACAAATGCCAATAAATTTTTGTACTTTTCAGGACAAATTGTTTTATTCTTCTTTCGACTTCGATGTGAAATGATGATAGACGTGTTCAAATTTACGTTTAATTTTTTTTACGATATGTGTTGTTTTTATTTGTTGAGTTGATTTTGTCTGCCAATGAATATGACATTGTGTGCGAAACGTAATTGAAATGACATTTCCATCTCTTGAACAGTTGACAGGTTTGGTTTGCACAATTTTGAATGTTATATTTCAAGTTTTGCTGTTTTTGTCCAGTAAAATTCTTTTTTCGAAACAAACCTGAGAAAATGGGCTGTCGTTGTCGGAATAACCCGATGTCAACTTCTCGTTTAAATTATTGGACTCCTCATTTGCAATAATTTTGCACAAATATTACGGTTGGAATTGTTGCAATCGCTCTGACTTAAGTTGCTGACCTCTGTCTGATTCAAGCGACTGTTCGCACGTACGAAACCAAATCGATGGGTGCGTTCAATTGTTGACAGTGCGTTCTCAAACCCATCGATACCATCAATATTTGAAAGGTTTTTAAAGCGAAAGTGAAAATGTTGGAATGGTTTTTTCTATAGACCATTATACCCATTTAATTAACAATGAAGTCTTTTTTCTGATTTTATCTGAATTTGTCACGAAAAATTCGAATAAAAGTAAAAAAAATGTTTCTCATTCAAAAATGTCTGACACGTTAACGGTCGATCAAAAGCGTGTATAAAAATTCGCACGTTACTTCTTTGCCGTGTTTCTTTCTGGTGAGGAGAAAATCGAAATCAAACCGTCACAAGATGAAATAATATTTCAAGCGAATGCATATGTACAAGCGCACTCACACATGCACCATTCACACATGTGTGAACACACACGTTGTTGCTTTTTTTCTCTGCAAAGAGAGAGTTTTTTTTTCTTCGTCTTGTCTTGTCTCGATGTTTATGGCAAACGAAAACCGGGTCATGATTAAATTTCTGTTTCATTTTCAGTTTAGTTTAAAATTTATCGTCAATCGATAAGCACGAGTCCATCACGCATCATTACCACGCACGCATATCCATCTATCGCAGCACCAACGCATAGTTGCAACTCTCTGCTATTGATTCTTTCTGTTTGGAATGATCGAAATATAAACGAAAATTTCTTATTGGAAACGGTTCATAATGTCATCATTCGACAGATTCTAGTAAATCTCTGCTGTTGCATTGAAACAAAATCGGCCATAAAACAATGAGTGAGTAAAACAAAGTGGCTGCCGTTGATGGAAAAGCAAAATTGAGCGATCAAATCACATCTCTCACTGACACACTCATTCGTGCATATAACGCTTTTGTGGTAGCAATCCGTGTGCTTTGTGTTCATGTGTGTTAGCCGCATTAATTCGTTGATGATGATACACCAAGACAGACCGTTACTGTAGCACGAGTGATCAGACATCCAGCGATCTTGTAACATAAATGCTGCACATCACTCTGTTGCCGCTACAATTATGTTTTTTGTGAATCTTTAAGAGCTGTGTCGTCATCATAACTTGGATCATCATCGGTTCGCATCATCACCCATCAGATTCTGTAGCGAATAAAAAACGAAACTTACTTTCAGTGTTTTTACTTTCATTGAAACGAAACGAAAAGAGATAAACAAATAAGAAGAGAAAAAACACAAATTATTTCACTGCCCGTTGGAATGCTTGTGCCGTATAAAATCCGTGTGTATGTGGGTGATATCGGAATCGTAAAATTTTGATTGGTTCGAAAACGTGCATATAAATAAAATAAAAGAAAAAAAACTCACGTAAAAAATTGAGAAACAACAAATTTTGATTTTCAGTGTTGATGAAACGGCTTCTTGTGCAGCAATACTGTGAGAAAATGTATGAATAAGATAACGCCAAAGTGAGACATTTAATTTAACCCACAAAATTAAATTCAATTTTCGTGAAAAGACTGGCGAGATTTTATAAATGTGTGAATAGTTTGATAAAAATTTTAAAAAAGATGCAAACATTATTTATTGGATTAGCTTTGCTCGTAAGCTGTAAGTATCAACACCAAAACTATCTAATTATTTCTCTCAAGACTTTTTGAAATTTTAGCGAGTGATTGAATCAAGGCCATTACACAAACACAAAAAACAACAAGCACTTGTTCGGCAACATTTTTTTCTGATCTCGAACTCGCTTGAACTCTTTGCTCTGGAATTAAATAATTACATTGAACACAGGAGTCATGAAAACAGTGCAAATTTTTGGCGAATACATCAAATTGCCGCGAGAGACGAGTCATTTGTGTTTATCGTTACTCCGACAGCGAATATTCGAGCGCTCACTTAAGCATGTTGCGCAAAACATTGATCTCGTATCATACAAAGCGTCGATGTGATGAGCGTGTTATGCAAATACCAGGCATTGGATAGATATTCCATAGATAGCTGCGAGGTGACATGAATATGGCTCGGCCATATGAATGCTGTCTTCAGTATCATTTATGCCGTCGTTATCACACGTTTTCGAAATTTGATTAACGAATCTCTGAATGAGAGACTCTTAATTGGACCAATTATGTTTTAGCACGTTGCTGGGTGACCTTTGAAATCGTATTGCACCTGAAGGTCGAATACGTACCCAAAAAAAACTTTTAAGCCATACATAATCGAACAAAACAAAACCATACAGTACACACACACATGGTCTGTGGCGGTGAAACCGGATATCACTTATTCATTCAACTATTTTTATTTATTTACTCAATAAGCAAATAAACTCAGATTTCACCTAACTTTTCCTCTTGGCTATGTTGTTTTGACTCTTCTTTTTTGCGCCATATTACACTCAAACTAAACTGTAAACCGTTGTTGTTGTTTTTCTCGTCGCATTTTGTTGTGTCGTTGCGAGTACGAAAATAAGTCGGTGTATGCATGAAATTCAATTTGAAAGTTGAATATTTGTATGTGAGTGCAAAAACTTGGCGAATTTACTTCATTTGCATGCCGAAGCAGATTGGAATTGCATGAGATAAGTGTGTAGTGTGCCGAGGCTCAAATGTCAATGCTCAACCGTTGTCGTATCGACACTATGTACTCATGTATGAAAAACCCCAAACGGAATAGTGTGAAACAATTAAGCGGCTAGTTTCATACACTTTTTCGTCTATTCATGTATTCAAAGTGGTTAAATTTAGTCATTATGCCTAGACTTTTATTGCATTTATGTAAATGAACGTACTATATGCGGTGGCATAAATCACCAGACATTTCAGCCGGGCAACAGAACTGACTTCAAACAACGATATTGCGGATATTGCGGTGCAAAGCACTCGATTGTCAGTATTACGAAATGGTTTTTCTTACTGACGTGAGTGACTGGATTGTGCGGTTAATTCACACATAAAATCCGAGAGTCATGAATCGATTTCGTTCATCAACAAAGGTCGAAATTTTAAACTTAGATAGTCGCTTGCTAGTTCGAATTAGTATGGAACCGCATAGAGCCTAAGATGAATTGAATTTTATTTAATATATGTGTGTGTGTGCGTTGCACAACCGCTTCTTAATTACGACCAATTTTAATTTAGTTTGATGTTTAGTTACCATTTATGTTCATTTTTCGAGTCGGTTCTATTGCTTCAATGAAGCAATGCTTCATTCACCTGAATTTCCGTTCACTTCCAATTACATACTCTATTTGTGTGCTCATAAAAAGTTTGAATTCATTTCAATTTTTTTCCGCTTATGCGTTTGACAATAATTTTGTTGTGTCCACAAACGATAAACAACACAAAGAGAAAACATTGTTATTGTCTACGATCAAGAAAATGATGGCTAAATAACATGTTGCGTATGTGAATCGGTCGGCGCTCGTGCACAATATAAAGCGAAATCAATAAATATGCATTCAGCACACTCGTTATTTATACTATTCATATACAGAAGAGGCAGACATATACACAATCTTTGAACGGAACAAAAGAAAATCGACTTTCGTAAGGTTCAGAAACAACGAACGCAATAACTGTGATTAGCAAACGACATAAAAGTAATGAGTGTCTTTCATCATGGCATTTTGAATGAAAACTCATTCACAATGATGACAAATCACAAGAGTCCGTACTTTCTGTTTCAGAAAAATGAATTAAAAAACAAAAAACACACCAAATCCAAATGATGGAGCCATAAAATACCAATCCAATCATCATTTGCTCGTGCTCAACATTCATCAGGTGATGAATGCAACGCTTGTAAAAGTCAATGAATTCAACCGAAAATGAAACAGGCACTCACAAAAAGCGAGATTAAATCATAAAACCTGTTGACATTGACACAGAATAGCCATTGGCTTGTGTTTCGATTAATTCGTGCTGGTTTTTTTCTTTCTTTCTTCTGTAACCGTTTGGCTTTTAGTATGCGCGCTTTGGCTTGCCGCTGGTATGGGGTTTTTATATCGAACATTCAACGTCGAAATTGAACCAAGCTTAAAGGTGAGCAACGATGGGAGAACATGAAATTTCTGATTTCATTCGATGGTTCTCACCGTAACTACTCAGATTTATACTGAAAAGGTCATTGGCATACCTACATTTTCATACAATTTCTAAATGCAAATTTAAAGTTTATTTATGCAATGATATTTATTGCGATTTCCAATCATCGACTCAACGATAGAGACAAGTGATTTTTGATCTCATACGAAATCAATTTCGAAATTAATTCAAGGAAAATTGGTGAATAAACCATAATGATGATGGTAGATATGTATATCTGTTTCATTGGTGGCCTAAAAATCTCCTTTTAATTACGAATCCAATGAAAAACGACAGACAAATAAAACCATCGAATCAAATAAATGGATATTTCCAAACCGCAAATAAGTGCGCATTAATTTGCCTTGCTAAATTGTATTTGCAGTGAAGAACAGTTGATCAAGCATCCATCAATCTCTTTTGTACTGACAACGCAAAATACCAACCTACTATTAGCTCTCTTTGTTATGCCATTTTCAAAATTAGCATTGGTATGATGACGGATCATTATTTCTTGAGAAACAGCCTCGATTTATTGCCGACAATTCAATGAGATTATTTGGGTAGTTATAGCAGTGCTCTTCTTAGAATACCAAAATATACGTTCATTTTTGATCTTGAATACTTACAAGTGAGTAATATAGCGCAATTACTTGGATGATAAACACAGAAAATGCTCTATAAAACGAGACAGCCTTGATTTTTTTTTCACTAGACAAAGACTCATTCTGGATCTATTTTCATCTAATTGGAGCTCAGTAGGGAAAGCCAAATTCAAAATGCGTAGTTAAAGATTTCAATTTGAAAACATTGTTGCTCTCAAAGTAATTTTGCTTTTCGTTCCATCGAAGCGTCATACTTTATAATGAATCTATTTTCGTGGAGATTCATTTGGTCTTGAATCTGTTTGCAAACAAATGCTTGAAACTGCATCCGATTGGATACAAAGATGGGAAAATCCGATTAGATAAATTCTACTATAGATAAATTCTGCTATCTATAGATAAATTATAAAAAAAAAACTATAGATAAATTCTGCACATTTAGCATTATTCGATGTTAATACTATATCATACGATTGAGAGTGAAATTTGCTGATTATATATTATTCTTCATATCTATCGTTTAAATAATTTATGATGTTCTATGTCTGTATGTAGATTGCAATGGTCTCATCGTGCCGCAGGAGTTGCCATCCGTGTTATCGTTAGTCTATTCAAATATTCCGCCGATAAAAAAGGGAACCGATTCTCGTGTAGGCTTTGGCTTTCGACTTGGTGAGCATGCCGACTTTCAAGTGCTATTGGAGCTTGGTCCCCAGAAATTTACTAAGCCCTTAGGTATGTGTGATATATGTTTACAGCCATGGAAAAATTGAATTATAGCCGGCAGCAAACTTTCGAAGCAGTTCAATTCCATTAATTCAATGTGGCTGTATTTTTGGGGAATTCCATTTTTCAAATGTTTCTCTATTTTGGGAAAAGGTTCGTCCGCTGACGACTCGGACACCAGTAAACGTATGGTTGATCAAATCGATTACAGCAAAAAAATCAAAGTAAGAAATTCCTAAATATAGAGTTTTAAATCCGATTATTATTTGCCAATTTGTCATATATGTATTTTTAGCCAGTGGAACCGACCCCTGAGAGTGGAAATAGCTTTTTGAATAGATGGGCGAGTGACATGAAATCAAAAGCGCCACAAAAAACGTACAAACCGCAAACGGATACCGCTGAAAATGATTCGCTGAAGGCATTATTCGGTCCAAAAAATCAATATCCAATTCCAGCGGCACCTGTAATACCGGAGACGTCACTGCGTCAGCTACAGCAGCTAATGTACTCGAAACAAAATGTTCCCATTCCACCGGCGGTGGGAACATTGCCGTCTCGGACGATGGAAGCGCACATTGCTCTAGCCGCACGTGAGAGCACTGCCAAACCGAAGAAGAAAGAAACTAAAGTGGATCTGAGTGATGTTTCGCTTGATGATTAAATATGTTGACCAATAGTGGTTTTTCCATTAGGTTCGCTAACGTGCATCGCATTTTGATTTGACCGAAAATAAACATTGTGATTACATTATTATTATCGTATTTTCTTTTTCGGTAGATGTTAAAAAAAACAGTGACCGTCCAAACAAGTTGCTGCAGATGGTGTCAGACGCAAATTACATCATACAGCCGCCGCCACAACCCTTCTTGTGTAAATTTTGTGCATATTGAATAGGTTATTTAAATAAAACCTAATGTAGGTATAGACATCTTTAGTCGCTAATTCGCCAAGTAGTCTTAGACTAACTCTCCAAATTACAATGTAGTAAAGAAAATCCATTTATTTGAATAAATTTAGAGACTTTGATACAGTAAACAATTCACAAATATTCAAACATTTATTCAATGAAAATATAGCTACAATATTATGTGTTGTGTACTTCCTATTGAACACCTTTGCTATGACTGTTTCGCTTTTTTGTCCTCCTTTGATTTTTTTCGGCGTCTCGTTAAGATTTTTCTTCCACTGGTTCGTTCAGTGCCATTGCGGTGTACATAAATGATTATGCCAATTTTTGTTTTTTTTTTCATTTTTGATTCTTCAGAAATAAAAAGAATTACATTGGTAATCCCGAACTTTTCCGTACCGTTGGCCTGCGTTGTTCGTAGGTACTTTTGGTTATTTTTTGTGAATTTTCTTGAAATAAAGGCAGTGAAAATATAATAATGAAAATAAAGTGAAAAATCGGTCACTTTAACTAAAACTTCGACAATTTTGTATGAGAGGTACTCGTAAACCGATTCTCATTGGCTTTAAACTTTCTGAGGTTTCATTTTTTGGAGAAAAAATAAGATTCTGAAAGTTTCATTTGCAGAAGTTTGATTTTTTGTCCTCAAGTTTTGTCGACATTTTCTTGGAAAAAATTGAGGGCCAAAAATCAAACTTTTGCAAATGCGATCAACATAAAACTTTCAGAATCTTGTTTTTTCTCCAAAAAATGAAACCTCAGAAAGTTTTGGTATCTCCCATTCAAAATTGTCCATAAATCCGTAATTTTAGTCGAAATTTCAAAAAATTTGTATGGGAGGTACCCGTAAATCGATTCCGATTGGTTTTAAACTTTCAGAATCCTATTTTTCTCCCAAAAAATGAAATCTTAGAAAGTTTGGAACCAATCGGAGTCGATTTACGGGTACCTCCCATACAAAATTGTCAATTTTTTGAGGTTCTTCTTAGAGCAAGTACCCCAGGATCAAATCGAAAATGGCTCATCTTCGAACTCAAACTAAGCTTTTCGGATACAATACTTTTGGCATTTCCAGATTTTGATTATCTCAATTATATTTTGAGTTATCGTGTTTACAAACAGCTACGACAACGACGACAACGACGACGACAACGACGACGGCAACGACGACGGCACACGAACGGGAAAGTGTCTCAAAAAGTGGTTTTCTATACGTTTCATGAGTTTTTATGATGATCTAAACCAATTTTGCAAAAAAAGTTTTCGGGACCAATTCCTATACTTTCCCTTGACACGTTGTGTACGGAAAAGTAAAATTGATTCACACTAAAATTCACACGAGCTTATTTCAATCATAATTTGCAAATCAAATATTTTTAGTTGCTACTTTTAAATATTTTTTCGGTTGTTGCCCAGTGGATCCAAGATAAGTATTTTGGGTTTTTCGAAACAATTGCTGCAAGGGTCTATATTATGTTTTAGAAAAACGTCGTGAACTAAAACAATAAACAAAAACAAAATACATGTACATTATGTGCATAACAGGAAAATACAATCAGCATATTTCAGTACCATGTAATAGAAACATGAAGAGCATAAAAGTGATACAACTATCGGGTAATTGGTCCATATCTTTAATTTTATGACCGTTGGAAAAGAGTGCGTGGCAATATATCCATGTAAATAAAAACACTGCGATCAAAAGGTAATAATACATATAGAATTTATCGAATCCAATTCTTTGCCAAAAATTAATCCATTTATTGTGCATTTTAGATTCCTCCCCAGATGATAAACAAGAGACATAAAAAGCACCTGTAAGATTTGACATTGTAGTATTAATTTTACTTATATTGAAAAAGAATTGGTTAGATTAAGAACGAGTTTAGTAAAAGGACCACTTAACCGACTCAAACACACTCTCTTCAATGGTGGCGCTTTACGCATACACAATGAATACACGATATGCTTGACTGATAAGCAAAGCATAGAATATACAGAATACTATTCAATGCATATACGGACTCGGCTGCGTTTCGAATCCATTGATTGTGAGTGCAGGTTAAAAACCTGGAGAGTCCTGACAAGATGTCAATTTTTCATTTACTTTTCAATTGGAATAAAAGGTTACCCAGATTTGTCTGAGATTTTGGAATTCTTTTTCGCCTCATCCTACACTTCAGATGGTTCAGATAAACTCGATCTTATTCAAGCAAATTCGAATATAACTTCGGACTATTTACCTTCAAGATAAATAATGTTGTTATAGCAACAAAACTCTAAAGATGGTATTTTGAAGTAGCATATCGAAAATAAATTAACTACCGTCAGTGAAACGATACACTTAATCATCAAAATGTATCTAAATGTAGCCGATAACGTCAAATTGTTTTGCCTTTTCTGTGATAGAAAAATATTATTCTTAGTTTGTTCAATCAAATGACCAAATAATCAAATCGTATACTCGTTCAACAATAATTGGATACCATATTTGAAGTAAAAAACAAATAGCTCCTCAACAAGCTATTTGTTTAACTGAAAGTTTCCTCACATTTGCCTTTTTACGGATTATTTTAAGCAGTTGTTGGTTTCGAAATATTTTGTCCAATTGAACGAGTTGACAATACTTACCTGTAGTGTATATCGAATCAATGACATGTGATTCACCGTATTCATTATTGTATACGGAATAGTAGCGGAGAATAGCAAAGTATTAATATAAAAATACTTGCTGTATGCCAAAGCACTCATTAAAATTGGAATTGAGAAACAAACAGACAGTTCTGTGAGAATAAACATTGCAATATAACAAAATGATTTTGTTCGATGTGTTGCAGATTGTAAATCAAAATATCCCATCGTATAATAAATCAATGCTAGGAAGAAATTATTTTTTGATTATATTTGTCAATAAGAAAACTAATAACATATCTATATACCTGTACAAGTGGTTGAAATACCCCAAATTATTCCAATGTACTTTTCACATTGAAGCTGTGAGGTCTGAAATAATTTATATATGAAATGCATCATTTTTGTTTCGACACAATATTTTTTTGTTATTACCAATATTAACATGATACCATAAAGGTTAATCCCATGAAAAAATATATCAAAATATATATCAATCAAAATTTTTGTCAAATACGAATATATTTTTCTATAGTCCATCATTTTTGTTTTTAATTTGAAAATGTTATCAAATTTGGAATTTCACTTTTTAACACTGTATTCAAGCGACCAGTTTTGTTTATGCTCATGAGTTATTGTTTACCGAAACCTCAATCACGCACATCTGCACAGGATCAATGTAGCTGTTGCATTTTTACTCACAGCTGTTATATGCATGTCCCTTTTATATAGTGTCAATCTGATGCACTAGATGTCAGTATGTGTAAAACTAGCTCACCAAAAAATACATTGTAGTAACGAAAATCCATTTATTTGAATAAATTTAGAGACTTTGACACAGTAAACAATTCACAAATATTCACACATTTATTCAATGAAAATATAGCTACAATATGTTGTGTACTTCCTATTGAACACCTTTGCTATGTCTGTTTCGTTTTGTTGTATTCGTTTTATTCACGCGTCCTGTAAACAACACAACAGTCTAGTGTCTTTACTCTTGTCTTTTTATAAGTTTGCAATTGGACTTCCGTTGACTTTTCCATTGACTTTTCTGTGGTCGTAAATTAGTTAAAACTTACATTTTATTGAATTATCTTTTTATTTTAATTTATTTTGGAGATGTACAATCTTTTTTGTTATTTATAAGGCACACGTTTCTTATATTCATACATCCTTGACCAGGAGTCAGAAGTCAGCCATGCTTTTATTCTTCTTCATGTTTCACTTTTCTTTCTGTTCTTCTTTTTCGCAATAGAATTTGCCATTTTTATTCCATTTTCTTCATCTTTCATTTCTCTAATACATACTATTTTCAACAATTGATTTTGTACTATTCACTTATTAAATAACGAGATGTGCTAATCTATTTGATCAACCGAAATCTTATCCACTCGTTATCAATTTGGTGGGTGTCTTGAGTGACATTCTTGCATGGTCCATTTCATTTATCTTTTATTTACTTGCATAGCACAAAATCTGGCAGATGTGTTTGAAACCATTTCTCTTTTCATATATTCTACCTAAACAATCGACCACCAAAAGTGCCTTATTAGTAAATTCCAAATAGATTTAGTCTGCAGGCAATGTTCAATTCCATTCTTTACTCCATACAAATTGGAAAATGGTGATTTCTCAGAAAAATCTAATCGAACAAATTCGTTTCTTAACTATTTTACTAGGGGAATTTAACTCTTACGAGTTCAGCATGTTTTCTGCCAGTTTGCTTGATTCGCGGAAGTTCGACGCGTTCGTTGTACGTACTGACGCGCACGGTCACAAGTTTACACAAGTTTGTTTATGGTTTTGCGCGTTTTTCAAGTTGTTATTTGACAACTAAAACGCGTTATAAACTAAAAATCGGTTGTTTACGTGTATAAAGATTTTTCACATCCTTTCCAAAAGTTCAAAGATTTATATAATTATAAAATGGACAAAGGAAATATTTTTAAAGAGCTGGAGAAAGTGTTGGGAGAAAAAGTTAATCCAGATAGATATAACAAATGGAACGACTGATGTGTGCGCGTCGTCCAGCTTCATGTTTGCACACGAACTCGCACAAGTTCGCGCATGTTGTTTTAATACGGAACTTGTCAACTGAGTGGAATCATGCAAGTTCTCTGGTGAATGAAACAATTTCGTGCGCGTTTATATCATTTTTTTACAAGTTTTCACGTAGTTAAATCCCCCTAGCTATTTTATCGTTCCAATCATTTTTTTTCGACTTGAGAAAGTCTCTCTAGAGTTTACTTGTCTCAACATAATTTCAGCACCTTCGAAAAATGAGCCAATCAGTTTAAAAAAAAAAATTGTCTATTCAATTTAGATTTAAATTTGGCATGCGTTTAGAACGAAATTCGTTTGTTTTTTGCTATTTTTTGTACCATTTCTTCCGCGTCGATGTTCACAGTAAAATATCATTATCAGTTTATTCATTTTTAAACCCAACGGTCAACGCTGGCCGTCAAATTATTTCTTATTTAACAATTTATTTTAATATAATGTGTGTATATAATAATTATACCACACACGCACATCAAATGTGAATGTGTGAATGATTTTGTTTCCCTACCGAATTAATCACAATCTGCACTTTAGTGTATTCACAACATTTGTAACAAAAATGCTTAGATTTGAGCACGATTTCTGAAATATGTATTGCATCTAACTTTGCGCTTCTTTTGTGAAAAACAAAGGGCGATTTTTGATGATGATCTGACGCTGCAAGGTTTTCTCGATTTCATTCTTCATTCCACCGAAAAAACGGCGTTTCCATCGAGCGCAATTCTTGGAATACATACTGGTTGCTTTCTGGTTGACATTTAATGCCATGTAAAGCATACATGACACACGAGCAGATAGCCTGTTGCTACTACAATACTTCCCAGCATAACGGGGAATCCGACTCTGTTGAAGAGAAAATGGAAAATAATTGGTTTAGAATGTGTAATTGTATTTGCACGCTTGGAAGTCAAGGCCACTGAACACATAGAAAGATTCTTGTTTGAAATTCAGTTAGCATATGTAGAGAGAATCTTATCAAAAGTGGTACGCACTTGAAATACTCAATGAATGTGAATCGATATCCGTGCTGCTCAGCAACGCCAGCACATACGACATTCGCTGAAGCACCAATCAATGTACCATTACCTGTTGAGAAAGAGAAAACGATGTCAATTGTTTCAAATTGAATTTCACCATTTCACATAAAGTAATTTAGCGTAGGCATTGTAACAGCGTAATAGCATTACACGACTTCAGAAACTTACCGCCAAGACAAGCGCCAAATGCCAAGGCCCAAATTAGCGGCTGCAACGGTAAATTCAATGCTTTTTTCTCCGCTAATGAGATAGACACTTTGATCATCATCGTTGTGAGTGGGATGTTATCGACAAATGCTGATGCAATTGCCGACACCCACAGAATAATGAGGACTGCTACAGCCAGTCGAGATTCTTCGTTTACTGTCAAAATGACGGCCTCAGTTTGTGAGCCAATCCAATCAATAAGCCCAAGTTCCGACAAAGATTCCATCAGAACAAACAAGGCGGCGAAAAATAATAGCGTTGACCATTCCACTCGGGCTAAAATCGATTCCATATCTTGACGATCAGCCAAAATCAATAGTAGAACAGCTCCCAACAAAGCCGTCCATCCGAGTGACAGCCGTTGAATATCGGGCACGGAATGTAAGAAGAAGAAACTAATAACGAACACCAATGTGACGGCAGATTTTATCAGCAATGTTTGGTTTCGAATTGGATACTGCAAATAGATGAAAAAACGATAATTATCTTTAGTCGAATGACACAAACACGTGAATTTATTATTGGTCGCCTGCTTTTACCTTTCGCTGCAAATCTTCTAATGTTTGCTTGTAGCTCTCTGGCACCGAACCCGATGAAAGTTTTTTCTTGAGTTGGCGCTGAAGTCTGTTCACCTTCTTGACCAGCGTCTCACGCACCAAATCTTCATCCTTTGAATAGGATGAAAGTGATGCTGCTGCTCGCTGCCAAACGGCAATTTCGTGGCGAAGCTCTTGAATATCTTGTGGTTCAATGAAACGTAAGTCGTTTATGTTACGGAATTTGTAACGTAATTGCACATAGGTTTGTATCATAACAAGAAAGATTCCCATTGACATGTGCAAGGAAAATGTCATGAAGTTTATACCCTGTCAAAGTGAAACGAAACAAATTGTTATTGAAATCGATTACGAGCAATTGATAAAATGAATACAATTCTGTGCTTACACTTTTGATAACGTATGGATTCGATGCAACTATCACATTTGGGGGATCACCTACGGGAGTTACTGCGCCGCCTGAAGAAATGGCACAAACAGAATGTTATTTGAAAATAATCATTTTTCGAAGAATTCAAATTTTCATTTTATGAATTGAAAAGTTCCCAATGTGCTTAAGAATAGAAAGCAAATACGGAAATAAGACGCTTTATCTGATCGCTGCTTACCAATATTCGAGAAAATAATCATTGACATGAGAATGGGCACCGGATTTAATTGCATCACTTCACACAGCCGAATGGTGACGGGTGTCATCAGCAAAACGGTTGTTACGTTATCAAGAAACGAAGACATCACTGCCGTAAACAGGCATAAACAATTGATGAGTGGCCAAATTTTCCCATTTGTAATCTGTGAAAAAAACAATTCCAATGTTAATTCAAAATAGGAAAGAGAACAGTTTAGCATTGCTGAATGTGTAACGTACTTGAAAACATAAAGCTATATCAACATAACGTTAATAACGTTCATGAATCTATCGAAAGCAACATAAACAAACCTCGAAAGCGTAAACGGCCAAGTAATCGAAAACACCCGTCTCCGACAGAATGGCTACTAAAATCATCATGCCAAAAAGCAGAAGCAGTGTCTCCACGTCGATCCAAGACATGAGTAACGGCATGGATGGTCGTTCGTTCATCAACGCCAGAATGGCAATAGCTGTTGTTGAAGCCACCATCGCTGCAAATGTTCGGTGCACAACTTCCCAAATAATCATAATGTATAAGCCCAGCAGAACGATTGCCGCATAAATAACGCCAAGTGATTTGTCGATGGGTGACGGATCGTAGGTCAAGTTAATGGGAAAACTAACTGGCAAGTTTGATCCGATGCGGAGTCGCAGTATGGTGTCATTCTTTGCGATTTGTTCGTACATTTTCTGATCTAAGTGGAATGTATGGGTTTTTTTCACTTCTAGCGCTGTATCAATGTCGGCAACATCCTCGATAATCGGTATTTTCAAGATATTATTGTCGTTTTCGATGTAGGCAATACTGGTATCGTTCTCATCTTCGAATTGAGTGTGCAGCAACTGAACTTGTATGAAGAGAAAGTTGGTAGTGTTACTGTTCTCATCGGCAAATGCACCATAAACTTTAACACCTAAACGAGACTCGAGCGGTACTTCATCAAGAATATAACCTGTGACAACATGGAATGGAAAAAAAATGTACGGTGAGCAGAGATAATATTTCAGACACATTTCAATACTCCTTCGCGTGAGCGTAAAATAATGCTGTGACCTACTTTTGTTTTGGCGTATCGGAACGGCCAACTGATGATGGGTGAGCACTTTTTCATCCTTCGACATCAAAATGCCCGTAAATAAGATCCAAACAGCTACCAACAAGGCTATTTTAATACTATTCAATATTATCTGTGACGTCTGAAAAAAAAACGCGCATTAAAAGAGCGAAAAACGAAACGAAATCGATAAATCACTTGAAAATTTCCATTTAATTTATAGCATAAACAACATTACTTTGATACCATCCATGGATGCCCACCGTAATCACCGAAGGCGAAGAAGAATTGTGTGTGAAATGATAATAAAATCGGAATAAATCACTTACCGTTTTCGGTTCAGCTTCATCAGGCTCATTTGTTGATACACCTGTGTGATGTAAATCCGATAACGTGGTGGTATTTTCCCTGTGCAGAGAGAAGAGAGAACGACAAAATAAAGAATAGAATAAAAAGAGTGTCAAGTAGCATTAAACCAATATTGTTGACGTCAAATCGATTTATTGAGTAAAACACATCAGATCAACATATTCACCCACAAACCAGATTTTTCCATTGATTTGGTTTGATGTGCAATAAATTTTCATACGTTGAATGAGAGTATTCCCAGCGTACACAAAGTGTGCAAAACAAAATCGGATTTAAATGTGATGACGCACGGCAAACCGATTGAAGTAATATTCGATATATATATTCGGAACGAACGAAACACAAACAAAAAACAACTTAAGCCATTCGAGTGAGAATGGAAAACATTGGAAGTAATATACATAATCAGTCAACAAATGTCGTTTGTTGTTATTGTCTCAAGTAGTTGAATTGACAAGCAAAGGTATTTTCAAGTAATTTTCCACATTTTCTCATGCCTTGAAAAAGAAAAACTTCCGTTCATGTGTTGCTAACGCCTCGTGTCACATTAACACATGTTTTCCGTTATTTTGCTTCGCTATCTTTTGTTTGGAATTTCTCTTCGTCAACAGCTTTTCAATGGCATTTTCAATGGTTATTTTTAGGATTCAAATAACCAATTCCAAAGGATAACCCTGACAATAATTCTTCAGTGTCACACATGAATCGTGTGCACCACGTACGCAGAGATTGCTCTCTCCATCGAATATGTGTCATTAACAGTATTGAAAAAAACAAAATGATAATTAAGTCCTTCAGTTCGATTGGATTTATATCTAGGGCGATTCGAACCGTTTCGATGCAAATGTCATCCGCAACAACTCTAAACAATTGGTCATTCGTTCTTACCCATTCGGAAGATGTCCTTTGATTTTTTCGCCATGCTCATTCATCACACTTATCGTAATGAATTCATTGTTCACCGGATGTTGGGCATTATTTGAAATGTTTTCATCGCCCACCGATACATCTTCATTTGGCAATGGATCCTGATCGTCTACACCTAAGTGACCACCTTTCAAATGAAATTGAAAAAAATAATATGTTAACCGCAATTATAATTCAATACGCACTTACACAAATGTTTTTTCAATGTGTCTTCTTAGTGGCGCTCAACCGCAAAATCTCATTGTACATTCCAATTTTATGCCGATTAACTTCTATGCCAATTAATATTCATTCGCTTTCCTGATGCGATCGGACATACACCATATATCAACAACAAAACACAAATTAATTCACATCTCTTTCAACTATTCTGTTTACCTCAGAATCGCGTCAATAACGACCGACACAATTGACAGACTTGTAATTGAAATATCTTTTTTTTCTGTAACAAAAACGTTTACGGAAATACTAATTGAGCGTACAAATGACGTATTTCATACCCAAGTAGAGAAACGTGGGCGAAATGTTATGTACCTGAATGGAAGCGCATCCCAGATAATGGATTGTTTTTTCAATAAGCTTAATCGACTGTTTCAAAGTGTCTAGTTTTTTTTCTCTTTTCTTTCATTCAAATGTTCTAGCGGAATTAGCTCCGCTTGTATTAGCGATTCTCTCAAAGCGAACTGGCTCATTTAGGCTATGTTACCATGAAGAAATCTCAACACATATTCGAATTTTTTCTAACGATTAGTAAATATAGCTTCTTATTTGTTCATATTTGGTAACATAACCAAATGAGTCAGCACACTTTTGGAGTGGAGTATAAAAAAGAGTTAGCTCACAGAAGGCACCTAGAACATTCATTAATAGTTCCTCTTTCTCTTCCAAATGTCTGTGTTTTTTCCAATGAAAATTAACTGAATATTTTCCACTTCGTTATTGAGAGGGAGTGAGAGAGCACGCCTGACCTAATGATGGAACTGAAGATGAAATTTCAATGTCGAATTATTTCCAACCAACGTCGGTTGAAAATCCGCTTGAATAAAGCGTTTCCATTGACAGAATATTTTTCCGCGAAAGATCTTTGTTCTTCCATCAGCGAGTCACTGACAGCGACAGGAGCGCATCGATTTAGAAATAATGCTGGAATAAAATTTTCGGGCGTCATTCAATGTGACGATAATAATTACACTTTGTAACAAAGAATAAGTGCTTCAACATCTTCAACGGGGGAACGTTCTTGTCTTTGTGAATTGATTGATGTAAACATTGTGCGTAAATAAGTTGAGAGGGCTTCCAACGGCTTAAGAAAATGTGAAGCATTGATAAAATTCGTCTCAACACGCATTTTTCACAAAGTCAGTGTGTAACTGGAGAAGAGCATTGACATCAAGATTTATTTTGTCTCCAAAAGTTTTCTTTGTGTACGCCGTTAGAATTGAGTACACGTTCCACTCCGTTCGCAACGCGAATGAACAAAAAAAAAACAACAAGATGCTCCAATGAGAAAAAAAACCGGTATTTCGCAACAGTTTTTTATCCATATTTCTCCATCATTCTATAAGCAAGTATATTTTGCACTTTGTACCACCAGCACGACGGCAAAATCGATTTATGTATATCGGCTCGTTTCGACCTGTAAAAGAGTGGTTTTCAAGCCATGATGATTTGGTTCTGTATTATAGTAACTCACGGAATACGAATCAATGCGTGCCAATAAAGTGTGAAAGCACGTGATGAGATTATGATGGGTTTCGATTTGATTCGATGTAGTGGAAAAAAAATCTTGCTCTGCGTTGCAATAAAACAAAATCTCTCATAATATTGCAATAAAGAAAATCACCAATATTTTCAGTACTTCATGCGTGTATTCACTCAAAAGATTATTTTGATGCGATGTCGTCATACAGATGTGAATGAGTCAAAGCTTGTGTTTGCTACACTCAAATAGCTGTTCTCGTTTTTGTTTTTGTTGTTTTTGTTTTTTCTATTTGATTAGAAATTTCAATGCATACAAGTTTCAAGCACATTATCGCTGCAGCTTAAAAACAGCACATCGACTGGAACGATAGACGATCGTTGTTTTCATTTACCATGACGATTGTCGGTTATGAAACCGTCACATATCGGGCACTTAATTTTGTTTAAAAAAAGGTAAATATTTTTTGAAACGTTACTCTTTTCCTTTCGAGACAGGCGAGAGAAAGAGAGAGAGAGAGAGATTTCATCTGTTTCTTTGTGATATAAAGTTTGACGACCGAAAATAATGCAAGTTGCTTTATTATTATGATGAACGCCCTAAAATCACATTAAACCGATTGTAAACCAGCAACAAAACTTTCATGTAAACTGATTATCATTCGGCAAAATCAAAGTTTTTTTCCGCTTTCGTCGTGGTGTGTGCACTGGTTTATCATGTGTTCATATGTGTGTGCTTGCGCTTGTACTCAAGTGCCGTTATCATGAAAGCATTGATTTTGCACACTCTAGGGGCATATGTACGAAAACGTGCTATTGCTTTATCAACGAAGCAAAAAGAGTTATTATTTGATCAAGTGGAGCGATGATATAGAGTTGAGTGGTCAGCTGAAGAGTGAATCTTGGCCTAATTGCTATCAGACACACAATATTTGTATGACCTTTGTATTACTTCATCGGAATTTACTGCTGCCGCACAGTATTTGTCTATCTTTTTACACGGAAACGATCAATTCCACGAATCACCCGCAAACCGTTTATGTTTTTTTGTTTCAATCGCAATTACAAATGCGCCAATGAATATTCAATAAGAAAGGGAAGTGCACTGCACACGGAAGATGAATTCGACTCGTCGACTGACGGCAAACAACGAAATTATTAGTCAATTGAACGATGGTGTGTATGTAAAATTGTATCGAGGTTATCTCGATTCGCAACCTAATCTGCAATTCATTTTATTTTCATCGGCGTTTATTCGATTTGTTTTCTTTTCATTTTTCATTCAGTGCAATACAAGTGCATTTTTTCGCGATAAAACGATAAGGCAATTTGATAAGGAGTGAAAAAAAAATGAACTAACAAAACAGCAGTTGCATATTCACACAGTTTAGATACTTGCTTATTTAGAGACGTCGTAAAGGAGCGAATGAAACAAAATCGAATTGCATTATGGCATTAATGAAGTTGTTTCTCTCCCGTTTTAAATCACAGGTGTTATAATGAGTCTGCAAATCGCATGCGATCCCTCTCTCACAAGCGCTAAACTCACAAAAAAAAACACAATTGAATCGAGATTGAGATTAGTGGTTGATTAAAATGCTCATGGCCGTTGATTTGTATTGCATCGTTTTGCATACAACAGAATTGTAAAGTTGAAAAAAAAAACGCCTTGACAACGGAAATATGCTAGACAATTCTGCGCCTTTTTATTATGCGTTTGGGGACATAGGGAACAGTTGGTTAAATTAACACTTACCATGAATACGTTCATGTTCCTGACGAAACGATGCTAACGATGGATCCTGACGAATTTCATCGGGTAGATTGGCCCATACTTCGACAGCACCTTGTGTGACCTCACTAATTGGAAGAATCGAATATGTCGATGAATTACTGAGTAAACCTGAATTTTGCTTTTTATTGCTACTGCTGCTGCTGCTGTTATTATTGTCATTAATATTATTCACATATTGCTTATTCTTTTTATTCTTTGACGATGGCTTAATGCACGGTTGTTTCAATTTTTTTAGCAATGGTACTGAAAAATCTTGTAAACGTTCATCGTTTTTTGGTTCCATTTCGTTGCGTTCGTTAGTTCGTGGTCGAAAAAAAAATGCAAACAAAGAAGAGATGAACACAAAAATTGCACAGCACCGATCAAAAATTCATTCACTAACTGTCATTCGCAGCCAACAACTAAACAAGACCTCTTCCCGCAAAAACAAACGAACGTCGCGAACAGATTTTACACCGAGTGCGCCCCACTGTTCATTCACTCGACGCTCACAACACACAAATGATGATTATACAGAAATGAGCGAGATCAGAAAAAAAATTTACACAAAAATAAACAAACTTAAAACGAAGTAATAAATAGAAAGATCGGAAAAAAGACTAATGACTGTGCCAATATACAGAAAAAAAAAACACTAGCACAACGCAACGAGCAGAAAAATAAAATTAGACTCAAACAACACACGGGCAAACGTCGAACGTTGAGAAGAAACGAAGAAAAAAAAACGGCAGCAAAAATTGAATCGTCTTAACGTATCGACTCGGGAAGTTGAACAGTGAATAAATAAAAAATACTACGAAATCTCATTCGCTAGGTTATTCGGTATGTTATGGAGTGTTCAGTGGAGTCGATCGCATTTCTTATCAGTGATCGCATTGCACAGTGAGCAAAGCGACGTCTACTTTCAAACACCGTTTTATAATCGTTTTCTATGGTTGTAGTGGTTTTTTTTCTCTTTCGTTTCGTTTCTTCGTACCAGTTGTGACTCTTTCTTTGAGTGAAAAGTAAAATTAATTAAGTAAATTATCGTTGTAGTGTGACTCAAACCTGTGTGTGTATGGGCAAATGAACTGAAAAAAGAAACTAATCATTCGTTTTTGCAAAAACATCGTAAGCGCAACTCATAACTTTGGCGAATACAGAGAATACACATGCATTGTATGTATAAGCATTAAGCATGCACACACTGAAAATGAAAACTTAACCTTCCTCAAGTTCGAACCTGAACGCAAAAAGTATTATACATAAATACAACTCAATGAACGAAGCAGAAGCCAAACGAAGAAGATGCTCGTCGAAAAAGAGAAGCAACGGTAAACAAATTACGGATCTTATGAGCCACTTTATGTTGTAAATATGTAGTTTTCATTCGGTATATCTGGCATGTTCGCGATGTTTCGGCAAGAGACTACAAGAACAACTTTCCATATTCGATTGTTTCCCACAATTTACCACTTGAGCGTTGTGAAAGAGAGAGAGAGAGAAAGAGAGTAATAAGCACGGTCAAAGTTAAACGTTTTGCCACAGCAATTTGGTCGGTGGTGATTTCACTTTAGCCCAAAACTAATGCAAATCCCATTGAGTCTGACACGTTCGAATCATTTCAAGAAAGCAGTATATCATGAACATGTTTATTTAACTAGCTTAAATTGAAGTACAAACAAATCATCAACACAAAAATGGGCTTAAGATGATAGAGCGAGAGAGAGTGACCATAACACAACTTATAAATAAACATGAGGATTTCCTAGCAATCAATGAACAGTGCTACTATGTGATAATCTTTGAATCTTTGTTTACATAACATTCAATTCATTTGTTTATACATCCAAACAACTCGGTCCCCAGCTTTTTTTCTTCACTATTCACTCAGAACTGACCATTCAATGTATCTAAATGGGAAAAAGCTTGCAATGAATATTATTGCAGTTGGAATTTTTTCAAATTAATGGTAATAAAAGCGAGAGAATTAATGGATTTTCAGAACCTTGATAATTAGTCAATTTCCACAACTGAGAGAGATGTTTATTCACGGCCACGAAAGCTATATAAATTGGAAGTATGTGACATTTATGCATTTTTTTTTTCAACTGAAAAATGACTGTTTTAGCAGCATCAATCGAGCCGAAGTTTCTACATATATTTGTTCCATTTGCAATTGATAATTCAATATTTCACATGGTGAATGAGAAAATGTATTTACATTCTTTTGTCAGACAAACGCTGAAAATAAACTCCGTCAATTTGCATGAAAATGTACTCTAACTAATAGAACTATTTGTGTGAGCTGTCTGGAATATACTACGTAGATCTTCTTGGAAATCATTTTAAAATTGCCCTTTTTATGCACACACCGACTTATTTCGTATAATGAACCATATGATTAATCGTCAAACGAGTGTACATTATGGAGTAATCGTCTAATGATGCGTAGAAAAGACGATGTGTGTAGCTGGCCAAAACCCCAGCACAATCACAGCCATTCAATGAAGCCATCACTTTATAGGATAATTTGTGGCAATGAACTGTGATTGCCCAAAATGACATAATGGTCGATTCATTGCAGAAAAAAAAGTCATGCTGAAAATACATTTGACTTTTTTGTAATTCATCGTAAACATTGTTTTGTAAACAACTGTTTGTCATCAAGATTATGGGAAAAATCACTCTTGATTTTGTTCTTTATCGATGCATTTGTTCTTGGAATGAAATCACAGTTGTTGTTTCTCGTTAAATTCAAAGGAAACTTCTTATTTTGCATTTTAACGCGATATTATTCATGCAGATAAGAATAGTTCGAATGAACGAAACGCATAAGTTCGCTGGTAGCGGTTCGCTATACAAAATAGTCAATGCAACAACACATCTCGAGTACGAATAATGAGGATTTATGTCACAATACAAAAGGTAGTTGATGCAATCAGCAATGTGCAGCAGCTGTTTTTCTTTCTGTATGAAAATGCAGCGGCTATTTTTAACATCAAGCAAAATTGCGTAATTGAGAATATGATTGACGATTGCTAATTGAGGACTAACATTGCTTATACTCTGTTTTTTTTTTATTTACGTTTGTGACAACTCCATATGTGGCTTTTCGCATAAAAATAGCGCGATAAGCCTTATGTGCTGTGCGCGCTAAAAAAGAAGAAGAGAGTGGATTGAAGTCGCGCAATTGCAATTCATCAAAAGCGAAGATGATGAAGATATGCAAATGAAACTGAATCTGAAATCGTTCCCATTGTATTCAATTGATTTAAATTAAAAGATTGACGCGCGCTGGAACTGATCAAATGTGTGTCACGTGAAAACGAAAGCCACGTGATAATTGAATCATTAAAAGTTTGTGTTTTACGCTTAGAATCTCTAGAATATTGCTCAATTTTCGAGTCAGACATCGATATTTTCTTCGTCTTAGCAACGAGTGTTTCACAATCAATTGTGGTCTTCTTGTTCAGCTGCGTGCTGTATTAATTTTTGGAAGCTTTAATCTCTCTGATGCGACGGCTGTAAATTAAATTGACCAATTCGATGGTATGGCCGTAAATTAAATCGACAACAATACTGCACCGATAAACGATTTTATGGTTCAAGCTAATGAAAAACAATTTGCTTCAATTTCAATAGACATACGACATTTCAATTCACACCTGCAATCGGTGTTGATTGATTAGTTCTTGACGCTGAACATTAAACGAAAATCACGTTTCCATTAGGTCAATCACTTCAAACAAAAATTGATAACGAACAAGTCATTGCATTCAGATAATGTTCATTCAACAATAAACTTCGTTGTAAGAGTTGAACAACTGATTGAATTCATTGACTTTTGGTTACATGAAATGTTTTACGTTCACTCAGAAACGTGTGTAGTACACAGTGTGTACGAAAAATAGGCAAGTTCAATAGACACTTTCTGTTGACACTTATCGAAAAGCATTCAAAGGAAACGTGAATTTCCCAGTGGATTGGAAAAGGCAGTCATGCGAATCGAGTACAAGCATACCTTTAGTGCAAAAGCATTTATTGCTCTCCCTAACGCAAACGCCATCTATTCGGTGCGAACATGAAAACAAACAAAGTGACTCCAGCTGCCAACCGATATATGAATCGGTGGAAATGAAGGCAGTGTATAAAAAATATGCCGAACAAAACGAACCACAGCGTTTCCTCTATATAGAGATGTTGTTGTATTATAACTCTGTATGGATCAGTTTGTTTGTTTTCATGTTCAAACTGAACAGATGGCGCTCGCGTTAGGTGAGGCAATAAATGTTTTTGCACTAACCGTATGAGTACAAGTGTCGACCGCTTAGGGTTGATTGGAATTCAATCAGTTTAATAGCAATATATCTAGCAATGTTGCTTGATTAAAGGGCAAAGTAAAGAGACCTATCACGAAGTGAAAGAGTTGATTAATCTCGATGTTTGGATAATGCGTTTGTAACTTTTATGAATCAGCTTATTATTACACACAATGCAGTCCGCAAAATGTATTCCATAAATGAAAACATATTTTTCCGATAATTCCATAAGTCAACGCACAGCTCAACTCTAACAAAATCTACCTGAAAAATCGTATGGACTCTCACAAGATGGTGTAAATTGCTAATTTCAAAGATATTAATTTCGTTAATTAACTGAATTTGAATAAATCAACAATGAATTGGTATTTCCAGTGGCATTTAGCAAATTATGCACTTTTCGGCCAATATATTTTTTGTACCATCAATTTGCATTTTTTTTCTATCATTTAATAGATGGCATATGATCTCTTGATGTGTGTGGAAAAACCCATTTAAATTTCAGCTATCAAAAGAGTCGAATCTTTGAAAACCGATTGATTTTCTACGTTTCTTTCGTAGAAAACCAATCGGAATAGTTTATATTTCTGATTTCCACAATATAGACGTGGATGATTTAGTATCAGACGCAATAAAAGTTAATTTCAGAAGCTCCATCAAGTCCAACACGAAAGAGGCGTTAATTAGCTGGATAGTTTTTAGATCAATTGCGTGCGAATAAATTATTCATCAAGCATGTAACGAAATTAGATTAGCGCAAAGAAAAAGACTAATGAAGTGGCACTAATTCGCTTCAAACAGACACACATACATACACACACGAAAAGTGCATTCCAATATTGCACCCTACACAATCTGTCTACCTCTTTTATTATCTTGCTTTGTCATTTGGTCACTAGAATTGACACCGTCAATGCGACAGTAATGAGTGTCAACCTTTTGCATGAGATGACGATTTTGTCGTATGCATGCATTTCAACACATATATTTGTTTCGAAAATCAGTCGACAAACCCAACTTTGTACAGATTTTTCGTTTCATCTGATGATCCGGTTTTGGCTGGTCGAATTCAGCCAAAACACACATTTACCGGATAAAATTGAAACGTTTCTGCACGTGAAACGAATACAAATCAACGCAAACGCGTATCAACGATGGCGATGATAATCATATTGTATTAGTACCTGCGTCACCTTAGGCGAATGAGAGAAACAGATGAATTAAGTGCAGATGAATTAAAAAAAATGCGAAAAATCGGTACATCGTTGCATGCCACCTGAATATTTAATTAATCTCTTCCAACTGATTTTATCGCTTGCGGCGTATCAATCATGTGTAATAAAAAAAATTGTCATTTCAGTCGAAAAATCACTTTTTTGTTTATTCTTATGATCGCGTGCTTGCAATATTAACATTCTGATGGAACCACAAATCAAAGATTGAATCAATACGATTGCATTAAACCAAATTAATTATTGCCGATTTCTTTTTGTTCGAATATTTGTGATGGTGTCAGCACAAAAAAATACCTGAGCTTATTGTCTTACCTTACGCTTGGATATGAGTCCAGGCTTCTGTTGAAATGATGTCGTCGCAGTAGATATTTACTAGCAATTTTCACTTTCATTATTGTCTGTGTGGATTTCGTTTGGCCGGTGAGAAAAGAAGAAAAGTGTTTGCACTAATTCAAAAGCCGTCTTGAGCTCATTGACGTTTTATGGCTTTTGTCTAACAGCCTCTAATTTAAATTCTCACTCGTTATATATAGTTCTCTTCATTTGATCCACTAATCACATCGATTCGCTTATCATGAACGCACAATAGTCATAAATCATTTTTTTTTTCATCGAAAAATGATCAAGTGCTTTGTATTCACATTCATTCGACCCTTATTACAACTGAAATGGGAAAGACCTATGTGAATCTACTTTCATTTCACAGCTCAGCACAATCAGATTACATTGCCACGTAAATTCAAAATGATGGATGCAATCAGCGCCATCTTTTGTCTTACGTCAAAACAACATTGTATACGTAAAATGCAATACGTATTGGTAAATGTCTCCACAGAAATGATATGACGTTTGGCGCGTTTAGCGATGTTGGAACTAGTACTAGTTTGTTTGTTATTTGGGACTCTTGAATCAGTTGATCGAAATTGTTCTATTGCTACGGACTTCGCGAGACACGGTTTAGTTGTACGAATTTGTGTTTTTCTTTCTTTCTTCCTTTCACGGTCTTCCTCAACGTCAAAAAAACAACAACAAAAATTGTAATTTCTTTTAACCCATTTCATTTTGTTCTGGTGACGACGCGCTAATAAAATTACCGAAATCATAAATTTAGTTGGATATTTTTGTGTGACGAATGTTAAACCGAAAAGGCGATAAAGGACAAGTCCCAAACTTTTGAAAGCTGATCGTCTTATGTCAAAATCAACAATTCCAGACGCACTCTTGAAGTTCTTCAACATAAGAATGACATAAATAGGCAGGAGCTTCTGAGTTACCTGGGTTGGTACGTAAGAAACTCGATCGTGTATCTGACATAAAAGTTACGTATATTACATCATGTAATTTACCTATGAAAAATCATGTAATTTACATGAATTTGTAAGAAACCCTGAAGAATGATTTTTTCATAAAGAAATAATGTAAAATACCAAATATTTAGGATTAAAATTGGTGTTTTAGTTTAATTCTTTCCTTTCTTTGTGTAAAAAAATGAATTTCAAAGATGAATAAAAAGTGAATTGAGTATTTTATATGTGTCATTTCATATTATAAATAACGTTTTCTATCAACTATTTATGCAAATATTTGCATATTGGTTCGATAATTCTCCATTTCCATGGAATAAATGCGACTATCAGCATGAATCCAATCCGCCGTCTTATATTTCCAAAAGAAGTTGAAATTTTTTGCTAAAAATTTGTTATATTGTCATTCAAATAACACATAAAAGTATGCAAAAATTCATTTGGCTACGCGTACACTTGATAACACTGCGAAAAACCACACTTTGTTTGAGAAATAACGGGTGGTTTCAAACTTTTGCATGAATAGTGTATGCATTAGCAAACGCTGGAGAACGAGCATGTGTGTACTCTGGACAGTGGACACTTCTTGCTTAAAAAAATGCTTAAAAAAATCGAAAAAAGTCATTTTTTATGTATAACCCTCTACATTTTCGAGCGTTTTGGAGTTTATTACATGCGTTGAGGTTTCTTACGTAATAAACGTAAGATACATGTTTCTTACGTAAATTACTTACACGTCGCTCAAAATCCGAAAATTTACCAACCCAGTGAGTTACCCAACGAACGCAGTTCAACCTTATTGTCACATATACACAGAAACCGTTCGCTCGATGAACGAACCGAGTAGAAGGCGAATGAGTGTAGCGCGCACATTCTCTTGCTTGTGTTTTCTCCGTTGTTGTGTCTTCGTTTGTGCGTTCGTTAGGTAATTCAGAAGCTTCTACGTATTTATGTCATTCTTATGTTGAAAAATTCTAAGAGTGCGTCTGGAATTGTTGATTTTGACATAAGACGATCAGCTTTCAAAAGTTTGGGACTTGTCTCGGTTACTTTTGACCACCACTCGCTGAAAATACCGAAAATACCTACGAAAAAGCAACAACACTGAACAATTTCACAATGAAACCTCTGTATACGCAAATAAACCCAGAAAAACAACCAGAATTATAAGCTGTTTGTAATGTGTCGAAAATGAATGAAACACACACCGTTGGAATTTTCAGATGAAACACATTTATAGACAATGCATACGAGATTCGGGAAAAAAATGAAAATGAATGTGAAGAACACAAACCAGAATGGCGAGAATGGCGAGAATTCTGGATCCGATGGCCAATAGCTATCGTATATAGTGCACATCAATTCATTCAACCATGAATGTTACTAACGTTACTAATCAAAATTATTCAATTAATCAATTACTATGATTATTAAATAAAACAATGGCATTTTTAGTGTACTGTTTGTTTCGTCTTTTTTGACTTTTTTAATTAAGTTGACTCAAGGCATACATAGCGCACATCACTTTATGGTTTGTAAACAATGCGAACGTGACAGTGACAGCCGGTTTACGTAAATACGTAATTGTGTGTTTTTTTCTGCGTTTTTCTCCACGTTGTAATGAAGATGTGGAGAAAGACGTGGAGACATTCACGCAGAAGAAATAATGAATTATTCCACAATTTTGATAAAAAAAAAAAATGAA